CTCTGTAGATTAGATCTATTAGAGGAAAATAAATAAATAGTATAAATTAAAAAATCTGTTGGCAAAACTAATAAATATTATATGGGAGTTGATGATTTAATACCGATATTGTGTCAAAAATGCTTATTGTTTGCACTCTTATTTTCAATTTTGATTTAATATTAAAAACTAAAAAATAATTTTTTTTTTAAATTGAAAGAAATTATACTTTTATTTGCAGTCTTAATTCAATTTCTAATCTATTAAAAATTTGATAAACAAACGGACAAATTTCCATTTAACATTTCGAGCTATCTTGGTAGAATTTATAAGTTTCAATTAAAATCATTTACAAAAGAGATAGCATGTCCAGCGATAATGACATTTTTTTAGTTTTCTTTTTTAATGTCTTTTGTCTAATAGGCTGCTTATTCTATCAAATCAGTTTATCATTTGGAGAATTTCATTCACAATGTCACATTTTTTGCAAATATTTCTTTGATCATTGCAATTTGAAGAATCGATATCATAGTATATTGAATCTGTTATCACTTATTAGCTGTCTGTTATCATTTCTTGATTAGATAAGTAGCGCAATTGATGCCTTTTAGATAAAAAAGAAGGAAACAATAGTTTAGGAATACATAAAAATGGGAAAAATGATAATCAGTTAAGGAGTCTTTTGATTATTTCTCCTTAAATTTAATAAATTCATTTCATTTCAATTACCATTGGATTTTGAATTTATTGTTATCAATTAGCATTTATTCATCTTTCTGATAAATTTTAACTTTATGTTTTTATTTTTAACTTTTCATCATCTAAATTTTAGAGTTAAGTAGAGAAAGAGAAAATTTTGATTAAAATGGGCAAAATAAAGTCATTTGTATTACTTTAACTTTGATGAATAATTAATTGAGAATTATAAAAAAATATATATATTTTTTTGCTTCCTAAATTTGTTTGTTGATCCTATAAGTTGATCGTAAAAGATATTTTTTACATTTGAAACTATTTATCTGATTAAACAATATAATTTTCAAGTTTGATCCACTAGTCTTATACACAATCTTACAATCAATTAGTAAATGTTTTTCATTTTTTTTTTTTTTATATTTTAGAAATTGAAAAGATTAAAGCACAAAAAACAAAATTAAATCGAAATGAAATATACTACCCAATTTATTTACAGTTATGTATACTACGACGTAATAGAAGATAAACTTAAATTCAGATTTCTGTCTCTAATTTCCGCAATTGTCAAATATTTACTTAAAAATAGAACATTAAGATTAAATTCTTTTATCTGTTACTTAAATGACAAATAAATGCTTTCTGAAAATAATTTCTATTGTTGAATTACTTTTTTGAATTTATGTAATTATGCGCACATTAGATATATGTTATATAATTAAATGCAATAGATGTGTCACATGCAAATTTTATTTTTATTTAAACAATTTTTTTGAAATTATTGACATTATTTCATCTTACGGTGAAGTATAGGTATTAGTGTTGTCAAACAAGAAATGGCCAATAATCCGATATTAGAAGATTTACCGGAACTGAAGCAACTTTATCGTCCAGCATGTCGCGGTGGTAATTTGCTGAGAATACCTCGATATAATAAGGTAACACTTATATATTATTGTTTAATTCTCATATTTGCTAATAAAAATGAAAAAAAAAAAGTTATTTTAAAAAACGGATGTAAGCATAATATATATTATTATTTTATTTCGTACATTAATCTTTCTATTTTCATTTATAATTTTTAAGAAAAGCATAGCAATTTTTTTTCTGTTCTCTGATACATGATTAGTTTTTTATCTTTTGCAAATTTAACATTCCTTCTAAAAGAAAATTCTTTATTTGCTTTTCGTTAGTTTAAAATTTCGTGGAATTAATCAATGACCTTTAAAATTTAGTGAAGTTAATCGATGACCCTTAAAATTTAGTGAAACTAATCGATGATCTACCTTGCTAACAAAAAGCAATGAAAGAATAAACTCACGAAAAATGCAAACAGCAAAAAAAAAGCATGCAAAAAGCAAAGCGAACAAATGGCATGCAAAGTGCATAAATTTTAGAATAGAATAATAAGACAAATTAAGAAGAAAAAATGCAAGCAAAATAAGTTAATAATAAGGAAAAAGGCATGCAATATCAATAACAGCAATATAAAAATAAATAAAGTTGATGAAAAAAACATGCAAGATAAGTTGAATTAATAAAATATAATAAAAAATGCGCACAGTGAGCAAAAAAACATGGAAAAAAAGCAGGTCAAAGTTCAAAAGGCTATGTAATGTTGATAACAACGGTAGAATAATCAGCAAATTAGATAAACAGGCATGTAAAATAAAATTACTCAAAGTAAGAAAGGCATTAGCAAAGTGAGCAAAACAGCATGCAAAATAAAATGAGTTAGATTTAAAGAAAAAAACATGTAATATTAGAAATAATGATGGAATAATTAGTAAAGCAAGTCACAAATCATGTATAATAAAGTAAGTTAGTCAAATTAAGTAAAAAGCATGCAGTACTAGTGATGATAATAGAAAAATAAGTGAAATGATAAAAAGACATGCAAAATAGGTCAATTAAATTAATAATAAGGCATGCAATATCAGTATAACGATGAAATAATTAGTAAAGTAAGCGAGGGCATGCAAAACAAAATAAGTTATAGTAAAATAACATCAGCAATGTAAGTAATAAAAATAGAAAAACAGTGAAGTAATAAAAGGGCATGCAGAAAAAGTAAAAAAAAAAAACATGCAATATTAGTAAGAACAATGGAATAATTAGTAAGTAAGTAAGTAAGTAAAACAGCATGCGAAACAAGGTAAGTCATGTTAAGAAAAAAAAAATGCAATGTCAGTAATAATAATGGAATAATTAGTAGATAAGTAAAACAACATGCAAAATAAAATATGTCTGATTTAGCAATGCCAACAATATATATATATATTAAAATCACGAAAAAATTTCAGTCTGTTCCTATCCTATGGGTATAATAATTAAATAATGTTTCGAATGACAATTAAAATTTGGTTCAAAAAAATTAGAGAAGCATCCATGATTAAAATTCTTAATATTAGTTTTACAGAATGTAACACTGCACAGAGAGGTACAAAGCGTTATTTAAAGTTAAATCTAAAAATATTTTAATTTAATTTGCTAAACTTGTCAATTGTAAATCAGCTCATGATTAAGGAGCAAAGAAGTATCTGCAAATAGCCATAAATGCAAAAATTTCATCAAAATAATAATTCCAAAAACCTTCTTACTGCAACCATAAAGATCAAAGTATAAAGCATTATTTAAAATTAAGAGATATCATGTCTAAAAAGGAGTAGAGACAGAATTTCACATATCTAAAATGAATCAAATTTAAAGTGTAAATCTACACAAATTGAAATTAATAAATTAATAGAATCCAAGCCAAACATGAAAACAATTTCTAAAAAGCTATAAATGGTTTATAAATCTAAGTAATTTTTTTCTCCAATTCTTTAAACACAACAGTTATAAATAAAGCTGTAATTAAAAAATAAATAAGAATCTAGAAAAATAGCATCAATTAAATTGGATCAAAAACTGATCCTAAAAAATAGTTAAAAACCAATTAGTAACAATTATTAACCGCAAATAACAAATTGTAATTAAGAAATTAAAAAGAAGTAAGCAGTACTACAAAAAAAAGAAAAAAAAAAATAATTTTTAACTGCTAACTTCTACCTCATAAATAACAAAATCATAAATAATAAAAATGGATTCATCGATAGAAAAAAAGCAAAGCATGAAAAAATAATTGAAATAACCTTTAAAAAATTCTAAAATCAAGCTGTAAAAATAAGGACCAAGCAAACATTCCTGTTCTCCATTAAAAATCAGACCATTCAAATAAATCTAATTTTTTTTTGTTTTTTGCTTTAATAAACTGGGTTGAAAAAACGAAAAAGGAAAAAGTCAGCAAAAAAAGTAAGTGATAAATAATGAACAGATAAACTAATTAATAGAAACATAATTTAAAAAACACAAACAAACAATTATTTCTTTATTTTTTTCTTTTTTATTTTTTTTTTCGATTTCTTTTTACTTTTTTTTAAATTTTTTTTTTGTTTTTTTCTATTTTTTTATTTTTTATTCTTTTTTAAAATATTTCTTATTTTTTTAAATTTTTTTTTGGTTTTTTTTCTATCCTTTTATTTTTTTTTTTTTTTTTTGCTTTTTTCTGATATTTTTTATTTTCTTTCGAATTTTTTTTACTTTTTTTTAATTTTTTTTTGGTCTTTTTCTATTTTTAAAAATTTTTTTGGTTTTTCTATTTTTTTTTTACTTTTTTTCGATTTTTATTATTTTTTTTGGTGTTTTCTATTTTTAAAATTTTTTTTTTTGGCTTTTTTAATTTTTTATTGGTTTTTTTCTATTCTTTGTTTTTTTTTAAATTTTTTAATTTTTTCATACTTTTTGCTTTTCTTTAACTATTTAAATAAAACACATTAGAAACATTAAGAAAACTAGAAAACACAAAATTATAAAACAAAAACAAACATCAGCAGGCATATCGTAGGAATCTCAAACCATGGAACAATATCATAGATGACGATTCTTTGTAATTGCTAAACAATTTTAACCATTTTACCAGTGATTTTTTTACCATGAAATTCAAAAACGTTCACCGGAAGGACAAACAATAAATGAAAGATTTTCGAGACATACTGGTAAGATTAGAACTTAGAAATTAATGATTCGAAGCAAATAATTAGTAACATAAGCAATAAAGCTCAACAGTTCATAACCACAAAAACACAAAAATCAAAAACGAAGCTAGAAAACCTCAAAAAAAAACTTCAAAATCAGTGACCCAAAAAATGAAAAAATCCAGGATTAGTCGGTTAATTGAAAAAGAAATAAAAAAACTTGCGTCAAAATGAGGATCTCAGCGCTGAAGCGGGCGAATGTTGGGCAAGGATGGTTCTTCACAGGACAATGTTTCACTGGCAGAAATTGCATCACACTCGCGCACCTGAAAAAAAGTGCGGAGATTAACTGAGAACAAATAAATTAATACTTAATTGATACTTTTGATAACATTGTTTGAAAAGCGAAATTTTCACTTACTTGGAATGTAATAGTGCTGAGCCTCATCGCTTCTACCAGCCAGCTCGAGCCTTCTTCGCTTAGCAGCCCTTTCACATATAACAAACTTTGTGGCTTTGGGACACCATTCCAAGGCATGAAGTTCCATCGTGGCTGCTCTTTCTTCATCGGAGCTCGCATGCGGCATATCAATGAAATGGCCGCACTTCTGGCAAAAGCCTGAAATAAGTATATTTTAATAGGAAGTGTTTTACTTTGCAAATAAAGTTACCAATCACAAAACACTTAGAAATGAAGTGAAACTCACCATTCTGCCTGTGCATTTTGGCGGCATGGATTCGCCATCCTTTCAAGGTCCCAAATTCTTTCGGGCACATACCGCACTCTGAAAATATCATAGTAATATCAAGATGAAAATTGCTCATATAAGGACAATAAATTTAAAGTAAAGTTTTTAACTTTAGTCCAAAGAAGCAAAATGCAAAAAAAAAAAAACTGTAATTAAAAATTAAAAACTTAAAGAAAAACTGTAATTGAAGCAAATATAAAATTACCAATTGTAGCCGACCCGTCAGCATTTCGAATTACTGTGTACGGGTCGATCTCCGGTGCCACTAGTAGCTGCCGGTATTGAGGCGGTAAGCCTTCCACTACCGGCGGTTGGAAGGCTGCCGGACCGGATTGTACTGCGTCACAATCTTCTTATTCCACAACTGGAATGTGTATTGTTCGCGAACGCCTGAAACATATTTAAGACTTTTTAAAAAACTAGCTGCTATGAATTTAATTTTTTTTTATCCAACATGCTCATTTGCAAAGTGTACTATACTGTCCGCTATTCTTTGCTATTTCTTGGTTAGAAATGAAACTTACAGCACTATCTCGCGACTTCGTTCCACTTGTCTGCGCTTTGGGACTTTTGCAGGCGTTGCTGGTACCACTTCTAACACTTCCTCACTCGATTCCTGTGGTACCGGTCGCCACTCCATCATTGTCACCTCCTCCAAGCTCCCTTCATCGTGACCAGTGCCTGTTCTGGTTCATCATTTCGTATTGGCTGCTGCAGCTCAGCTTCTTCTCGTTCGAGGAAGTCAAGCACGAGCATTTCTTCATTATGGCGTTGTCGCTCCATTTCACGCTCGTGCTCCAGGAGTTCTCGGAACACTTCCAACTCCTCTTCCCTCCAACCTTGCCCTCAAATCATTAATCTAAAAAAAAAAAAAAAAATCATATGGTTAATGCAACTAACAACAAGTTCAAGAAGTAAATTAAACATCTACCACCAGTAAATTACATACGAGATTAAAAATAAACATACCAGGCCTGCCGCATTTCGTAAATGATCTTCCAACACTTTGAAGTACAGCGGTTCGTTGCGTAAATGATTCTTCAAATCTACCAAAGTTGGTAGATTTGGACCTTGCACTCTTTCATCCATAATCGCTAAAAAACTACACATATATAACTGACAAGCTGACAAATCATTTTAAACATTCATCTTATTAAAATGAATTTTTAAAGAATATAATAGGAAAGCAATGAGTAAAATTTATCCATTTGTATTCTTCTAACAATCATTCCTATTACATTTGTCCATGTAAATTGATCAGATTACAAAATTGCTACAATGTTCCAAGCACACAAATAGATACTTTAGTCATATTATTTTAAAAAAAGGAAAAGAAGAAAGTAATGAGTGGAACATACCTCTTAGCTCTGCAATGGATTATAGATTCATTATCATAGCTATATATATTTTGTAAATCACAGAAAGTCAAGAAAAAAACCTCAGCTGTACAGCATTTACACTTTTGGAAACTCCTTTAATTCCTTTAATTGGTAGATTAAAATACTGAAACTGTAAAATATGCAATGTCAATTAAATAATGTTTCAAGAATTGTTGAAAAATTAAACAAATTTTGTACAAGGAAATCACAGATTAAATTTCTTTGCAGTAATGGTGAAATCATTTCTCAGATAATTGGACATTGGTTACTTTTTTTCAATAAGTTCTTCCTCTGCCATACTATCATATTTCTCTTCTCCTTGTCAATTGAGTGTTTTGGGCTAAACATTATGTCATTGTCACCGATTATGCCAAACATTACTGCAAATTGTGACCTTTTTCTTCGTTGGCGCACTGAGTTCGTTTCAAGAAATTATATGCCTTAAAATTCAAATATTTTGCTATTAGTAAATCTTTTTCGTATTAGTAAGTCTTAAAATTTCTTTGGTTTTGAGTTATTGATTTTTTCTTTAATTGGTACAGTTTTTTGTTCGTTTATTTCTATATTTAGAGTGATTGTATTTTTTTTAGTTACTTATTTTTCTGCTTGCATTTGTTTTATCATCTGAAATTAGTATATTCTATTGTGGTAAGTCTATAACTTTAGTTATAATATTATCTCATGGCTATACTTCTGTATTAATATTTTATTTTATTGGATAATTTTATCACAAGTAAAAATGTTTTGTTAAAATATTCTGCTTTCTATGTTTTTTTTTTTCTTTTTTTTATATTTAAAGTCAAAACCCTTTTTTTTGTTGGTTAATTTGTGAATATTATGAAGAAATTCTGATTAAAATGTTATCCGCAAGGTCAAAGATCAGCAAGCAAAGTTATGTATATCTTCATTATGTCATACAAACAAAGGGCGTTAGTACTAACTTATCGTCAGTACTCAACATTTTAGCGCAAATACTTCAGCATCGGCGCACTTACTCACCCATTCACTCACTCACTTACTGGTAATTGAGTTTTATCAACAAACTTTCTCCACCTTCTCTCTCTTTTTCCCCTCTCTCTCTCTCTGTTTCTCCCTCTCTCTGTTTATGCCATAATTACCTCCCCTATGTTTAGAGATGTTTAAATTCACACTCTTTCTCACTTATTTTTGCATTTCTTAGCGATGTTTGTTTGTTTCATTCGTTGATGCTTTTTGTCCGCTAATTTTGTCATTCAATCTGTCCTCGTCTTTCATCAGCATAACACGAAAGGTCATCTAATTACATTGATTTCTCTAAATTTCGTACTCTTACATCCATATTTACCTTTTTTTTTTATGAAGTATTAAAATTGCAAAAGTATTGTCTGATAATATTTCCATGTATGTAAGCATTTTTGATTTTAATTTTTGACAATATCCGATACTACAGATTCTAATGCACTAAGCATTTTACAATTTATTGAAGCCTAACCAAATGATATAAAAAAATGATCGAATAATTTTTTATTCTTTAAATTTCATATTGACACAAAAATTCCATAACTTTTTTTTTTTCCTCATTATTTACATCTATCACATAAGTTATTAATGATTTATTAAAATGAACTTTTTTGTTTTGTTTTGTTTTGTTGATTTGCTTCTTATCGTCATTTTTTTTTCCAACCATTAAACGTGAAATAACAGAAATAATTATATATATGTATAAGTAATTGTATGCTTTCTAGCAACGGAATAAATTTGCACAAAGATAAATTTTTTCTTTTTCGAATTGAATTAATAATTTGAATAAGTTTTTTTTTATTTTACTTAAGATATGATTTTCTTTTTACACACATAAAAATATGGAATCTTTTTAAGTTGAATTTAATTTCATTTAGAAGAAAGAAAGTTTATTGGATCTATAGAAATCTATAAAGAAAACCATTTCATATAGAATGTATAAGCTACCTGTTGATACTAACCTATGAAACCAAACTTTCGAAATTTACTTAACATTTTGAAAGAAAACAAATCATACTAACACTAATGAGTTTTTTCTTTTTTTGAAGCATTCTTTTCTTTTTTTATGGCTCTATATTTCTTTTAGCTTCTTTACATCTAACTAAATAGCATGCTACACCATTTGTCAATTATCCATCCTTCAAATAAGTGCTACTTCAAAATTTAAAAAACGAAATCTTATACTTATTGCAATCAATATTGTTCTAATGATCTCATTTCCGCTTTGGAAAAGAAAAAAAAAATCAAGTGGAAATGGGAATATATTTGGAACGAAAGAATAAAATTTGACAGATTTTCATTTCAATTTATTCAGTAAAAAAAAAAAAAAAAAAAACATCGATTAACTAAAATACAATGAGTGACAAACATGTTGTTTGGAACAAGCAGGTTATTCTTAATTGAAAAAAAAAAAAAAGCTTTTTGAATTTGTTGTATTCTACTTTAAGCATCTTCTTGCTTCGTCTTTCTATTTCACCATCTTTTTTTTTCTTTCTTTTTTTTCCTTTTTTGCTTTGCCTTTTTTTCATTTCCCATTTGTTTATTTTAAATAGGAAAATTCATTCAAATGAGACGGGCAATTTTTTAGGTAATTTGATCGAATAAAATTTCAAAATTATCAAAAGCAGTCACATACACACTTTAATAGTTATATGATTTTATTTACAATTTATAATTTAAAAAAAATGAAACCTAATTATCTTGTCTATTATCTATCTCATTGCGATATATATATTTATGTATTAATCGTTATCATTTGTGATCTCTAAAACGAAGCAAACACTTTTCTTCTTTATTTCTCCTATTTTTTTTTGATGATATATTATTTAAATTTTGAGATATTTTATTACAAATTCAACTTTACAGATTAAATTTTTTGAAATTTACAAGATGGTTGCATTACTATCAATTTTTGCCGTATGGTTGACATTCTTCTCCATTTGCTTCACATTTTTACCAATGCAAGTTCTTTTTTAAATTTTAATCATTTAAAGAAATAAAAAAAAAAAAATTTTTTTTCAACATTACTAATTTAACTAATTTTTTTAAAATATTATTTGCAACAGTTAAAAAACTTAATTGATTTTTTCTTTTAGATTAGGTAATAATATTTTTATATTACCTCATCATTGTAACTTTGATAGCACACACTTTAAGCTATTCAGTTGCATTATTTCATTTTCAATATTAATTAACTTTTATTGTCATAGACTAAACTGTTCATTTTAGAAATCTAAAACAAAAAAAAGAAAGAAAGTGATGTAATATTCATCTCATATACTATAATATAAATTAATGATTCATATTTCAGGCTTCAAGTATTAAATTGGAGAAAACGTGGAACTGCTGATGGCTTCTCATCTATTAATCTTGTTTTACCTGTCCTAATGTTAGTTCTTTTTTTCTACTTTTTTTTTCTCTTAAAATTTTGTTGTGTATGTTTTTTTCTTAATTTTTGATCAGTACTATAGAAATTTTTATTGAAATAGCATATAATTAATTAAAAATATTCTTCTTGTATAACATATCAGCTAAAATGACACAATTCATAACATAATATCAAGCAAAGCTAAGAGCTATTTCAAATTTTAAAAATCTTTTTCATTATGTAAAATTATAAAATTATTGAATTCAAATAAACATACATTCCTTCTCTTTTCGAAGGCTAAATCCATCTTTTGCTATAAATATCATTTAAAAAAATATGAGCTATCATTTATTTATGAGCTAAAAATTAATCAAAAAATTTTTTGATCTCATTTTGCATAAGTATGAAGAAATAAAGTAAAGCAAAAACTTTATAACATAGATATTTATGAAAATACTTATATTTTCGGAAATGATTTTAATAATAATTTTAGGATGGGTTGTTGGTTACGACATGGATATATGACGAATGATTTTACAAATATTTTCATTAATACAATAAATTTGATTGTCTTTGTCGGTTATATCATTGCATTTGCATTTTATCAGCCTTGCCGAGTTAGTATTTCCGTACATACAAATTTGTATTATAATTTATCGCTTCGCAATACTTTTATCATTTTCATAATTTTAAAACTAAAATTAAAGCCAAAAAAAAAAAACAATTATGCAACTAAAAATCTTATTACAATAGAATAATCCAACTTAATGTTTATTTTATTCTAAGCTAATTAATCTGCTATCATTTTTCTACCTTAATGGCATTCATAATTTTTCGGAATTTTATAATAATGAAAAAAAAATTTATTAAGAATAACAAAGAACCTTAATTATATGGTATATTTAATACTAAAAAAAAACAAAGAAAAATTAAAGTTTTTAAAATTTATTGTATTTTTGATTTAGCGCTATTTATGCTTACAACTTTTTGCGCTCTTTTTCACCCTATTTTGCATCTTTTCTTATGTCAATTGGCAACCTAATGATGTAGCAGCTGATGTGATGGGTAGTATTGCCGCTGCTATGCAAATTATCAGTTTGGGTGGGCAAATCTATGAAATCGTAAGCTTATTTTCTCTTGTAAAATTTAGAAGAATGAAAATAAAAACACGAAAGTTTAAAATTAAAAATTAATATTTCTTATTATTATTATTTTTATTATTATTATTATTATTATTATTATTATTACTATTACTATTACTATTATTATAATTATTACTATTACTATTGTTGTTATTATTATTGTTTATTATTTACTATTATTATTACCATTATTTATTTATTTATTATTATTGTTATTATTATTATTTCTTATTAATTATTTATTATGCTATTTGAAATCTTTATAAAAAATTAAAATGATAAAGTTAGTAAATTAGAACTTAATAAATCGGCAAATCAGAAGTTGATAATTCCTTAGAACAAATATATTATACTGAAAATTTGAGCATTTCTGATAGTTTTGTGAAAAATCTGCAGTATTTTTGAATATCCTATAAGGTATCAAAAGATTTTATTTAATATTTCAATGCATTTTAGACTACAAAAAAGTTTTTATATAATGTCAATTGTTATTAATTATTTAGTAAAAAAGTTCAATGAGAGCAAAAAAAGAAAGAAAAAATGAATTTTATGGATCGGTAATGCATAAAAAAAGTTATGCATAAATCATCAAATTTTTATAATAATAATTTTTTTTTTCTTTTGTTACCTTAGAAACGTGCAATATCATTTGGTCATACGGAATTTATTCCGGCTGAAATGCAATTTGGAATCTTTTTATTGGCAATACAATGGACTATTTTTGGTATTTTGATTGATAATTACTACATTGCTGTAAGTTTAAGTATTTTTTAAAAGGTTATGAACTGAAAAATTTTTGGAATTTTAAAATCTTATAGCAAAAAGTAGTATTATCTCAAAAAAAAAATTAATATAAGTACGATATGAATATGTTAATGCTTTCTTGAAGCTGATAGAAAAAATTTTATTTACTTTTTTAAATTCATAATATTTTACTTCATGAATGAAAAAAAAAAAAAAAAAAAAAAAAAGCAATTCTTTCTTACAGGTTGCTAATTTTGCTGGATTTCTTGTAAATATTGCAACAATATCATTGTATTTCATCTATCCACCGCTTACTTGGAAAGTTCCAATTATTGGTACCGGACCACAGCAGAAGAAAACGGAATAGAAAATTTTCAACTGTTCAGGGAAAATTCTTTCAAAAAGAAAAAAAAATGAATTCAATTGCTTTAAAATCTATTTTGTTAAGAATTTTCTATAATCATTCATTATCCATTTATCATAATGAAACTTTAGTTTTAAATTCTTCATTAGGAATTTTTCTTTTAAAAAATTTTGTTTAAACAAATTATCATAATATGTAAGATTTTTAAATTAATCACAAGAATTGTTGTGATCATTTGCTTGTATGTAGTGTAAACAATATTAATAATATTTCAGGAATAAATTAATCTTTAAACAATAAATATTTCGCTTAGGATTGCTTTAGTAATTACTGTGGGTATTCAAAAAAAAAAATTTAACATTTATATATTTGTAACTTTTAATTTAAATAATTTTTGTCAAACAAATATTCTCATAATTGCAACTTATTTGTTATTCATACTTATTATTAAATAAATCTTGTATTTCTGTAAAATATAAATGTGTATTTTATGTATTTTAATGTATATTATAGTACAAACTATTTCAAATGTTTATTTTGTAAACAAATTCATTAATTTTTTTTTTTTTTTTTTGAAAATAAAAGAGGAAAAAAGAATACATTTGTTATCGCAAAAAAAAAGAAAGAAAGAGATTAAAAATTGTGGAATTTTAATACATAATAGAATTGTTGTGTAAAAACTGAAATTCAAAAATACATAAAAAAATATTATTTTCATTTTTTTAAGTTTTCCATTTAATGCATACGTTTAAATTTATTTTCATCTTTGTGGAGATATTAAAAACAATAAATTATACTGCAGTATGTAAATTTACCAAATTTATGATATATGTATACAATAGCATGAGAAAATACAGCATGTATTTTTTTTAATCAAAAAAATTAGGAATTAAATTTCATGAAAGCATCTTAATTATCATTTTGATAAAATGATATCTGAAAATAATTGTTTCTTTTTCAGGTTTATCATAAATAAATACGAAAGAATAATTTGTTGGAGGAAGAAATATTTTAAATTATTTTTTTTTTTTTTTAATTGGATTAAAACAATTAAAATTGAACACATAAGGATAGTTGGATAATTTATAAAAAAATTTCTTTTTTTGTTATCTTATATATTTTCTATTGCAAATAAATTCATAAATTTAACCTTTTTGCAAAAGATTAAAAAAAAAAAGAATATCTGTTAGTAAACAGAAAATTCGTAAGTAAACAAACAAAAAAAAAAAAAAAACTGAAAAAAAAAGGATTGAAACATTTGTAATTTTATCTTCCATCTCTCATTTTAAGCAAATATTTAAAAAAAGAAAACATATTAAAATATTGCAATATTTGAATGCTTTATTTAATTCTAATCTTTTATTTTTTTTTAATCTTTTATCATAAATCTTTTAACTTAATTATTAACAGGTAATTTAAAAAAAAAATTTAAATAAATTATCACAAAAAAATTACAATTTCACTATCATTGTCATTATCATTATGAGAAATTATCATTTCATATGAATTATACATAACTCATACAAAAAAATTTTGATAATATTTTAAAATAGTATCAAAAATTTCAACAATAAATTTAATTTCATTTATCTATTACTCAAAATGTTTCATACTTTTTAGCACAGTATTTAAATTAAATGAAAAAAAAAAAAAGACAACTTTTCCATTGTCTTGTTTATCATACTTTTTAAATTAAATTATAATTTTCATTGTAGCAAAAATTAAAATACAAGAAATAATTGTAAGCAAAGAATTAGTTTGCGTTGCAATATTTGGCTTTGTTGTAGGAGATATTATAGCTGTACAATTGCTACATGTTTTATAGCAATAAATTTTTGCAATATTTGAATTTTTTTTACATGCATCAACTTTTTTAAGCTTTGTACAATTTATCCATCGATCCGAACATTCTGAAATAAAAAAAGAAAAAACAAAAACATTTTTTTTTTATTTTCTTTTTTAAAATTTTTTCAGCAATAATAATTGTTAAATAATTTATATATTTGCAATTTTTCATTAATACTACTGAAGAAAAAAAAAAAGATGCAATCAGATTAATTTCAAAAATGATAATTTTGCTAAAACTAGTGATAAATTATATATAAAACTTTGCAAATTGTTATGGAAAGAATGAAAAGTTATTATGAAAAAAATGATGAATTTTTTTTTTAATGAAAAATTATCTTCCAATGTTATTTTTTTTCTTTTTATTTATTATTATTTTTTTTTAAAACATTTTATTGGTCAATTTTTTTTGTATTATTAAAAATGCTAAATACAATTTGCTGTTAAAATTAATAAAAAATATAAAATATTAATTTTTAATTTTGAATAAAAATCATTCTCTATAAATGATTAATTTCACTAGTAGTTAAGAATATTTTAATTAGAATAATAAAAATTACTTAATTAATCTTTGATATTATTATCTAAAATGAATGCATAAATGTTTTATAGCTTTTGTTGTTATCTCTATTAAACTTTTATCATTCCATTCTTATCAGAATAACTTACATTCATGCATAATCTTTTATTTTAAACTTTCATAAACAAGAAATATTTTTCATAGTTAGAAAATATCTTAAAATTTTAAAGGTAATGAAATGAAATGGATGCCTTCAGTTGGAGTAACAGTAGTGATATCATTATTATCAGTAGTGATATCATCATCACATAAACCACATGTTGCAAGGCAAAATTTGTTAGTTTTTGTTGAAGAGCAAATATCGATTGCCGTAATATTACAAAAGTTAGATTCATCTTTGCACTCTGAAATAGTATTCAAATTTAATTTAAATCCTTTACATCTCTTATTTAACAAATTTTTTGTGCTATGAAGTTAATTAAGTCAAAATTTTACATTAAATTAAAAATAGGAAAACATTAAATTAATAATAAAACTAAAAAAAATTAAAAAATTAATTAGTGAAGAAAATTAAATTAATAAAATGTGTTGAAAATTAATAAAGTTAGAAAATTAAAAAAAAAATTTTTTTCGAGAGATTTATCGGATTTAACTAACTGAAAAAAAAGGATCTGAATTTAATTGATGCATTACCAAATGAAGATACTTATTTGCAATTTACTGGAATACTAAAATCAAATCATTGAAATTAGTTATTTTCAAAATTATTGAAAATTTTTTTTCACAAATAACAATAATTAAATTCTATGTGACATTTTTTTCTTAAGTAAGAGTATGCTAGAGAAGAACAAAAAAGTTAAATTATTATAATTAGCTCAGAAATTTGTTTCGTTAAGACAGAAATATTAGCAATTTTAAAATATTTTAAAAAGTGCAAATAAATAGAAAAGTGAATAAGAAAGGGGGAATTTATTCAATTTATATTAAAATTTTAACAAAAAACAAAATGTCAAACAAGAATTTATCAAACCTTTTGCATTACAGTAGACAAAATAAATGAGCGATATAGCAAATCCTATTGGGTAGAACATTTCCTGTAATTTACCAAAAAAAAAAAAAAAAAAAAACGAAGGGTAAATTTCAATATTTATTAAACATTCCCTTAGCGTTATTATCATTTCGATTAAATTTATACAAAATATAATGACAGAATTCTACTAATCAAATAAATAATTATTACTCAAATAAAGAAAAAAAAGAAATACAAAAATCTTAAATTAATCTTAAACAATTTAAAAACAATTTCAATGAAATAATTTTTTAAATTAATTGTCACTTTCTTTTGTATTATTGTCCGTATTTCTGGTAGAAAACTGATAGATAAATATGAATTAAATTTAAGAGTATAAATCGAACAAATAATCATAGCATTTTATTTCGTTTTGAAATTATCATCACAATTTATTATTTATATATCTAATAGCTAAACAATATTTAATAGCTGAATTTTAAAAAAATTAAAAAAAAAAAAATCACAATCACCGACTCAATTCATGTTAGCATTAAACTGTCACCTCTCATTGTCACCTCTCTACTATTGATGACTATCACTGCTTTTTTAACTCCTCTTCACCTTTCGTTTTTTTTTTTTTTTTTTCAAACGATTTTGTCTGAATACTATGTTAAATGTTTAAATTTTATTTATATAAACCTTGAATCATATTCCAAATATTTGTTGTCATCAATCAAAAAAAAAAAATATTATGTGTCACTCATGAATGTATGTATGTATGTGTGTATGTGTGATGTTAATGTATGTGTATGCATGTATGTATGTGTGTATAAGTTTAAACCTATATGATTCAGCTGTTCAAATTCAAATTTAAAATTTTTTCCTATCAAATTTGTCACAAAAATTAGAAGACATGGATATATTATAAAATCTTTTTGATTTTTTTTCTTTTTTTCGAAAAAAAAAATTTTTTTTGAGAGAAAAGAAAATTGCTAAAATCTAAAAATGCTATAATATATCATAAATGCAATAATTTAAATATGATAATAATAAAAAAAATCAAAAAAAAAAACACCGACAATTTGTGTTTTATTGATAAATTATTACTTTCATTATAAATGCAAAGGAGAAGGGAATGTAACTTAGAATAAATATTGTTAAATTAGAATAAATATTCATATTTAATCCATCATTTCCAATTAATTTTAATTATTTAATTTTTATTAATGTGAGAAAAAAAGATGGAAGAATCATAAAATAAATAGAAACATCTAGAAAGTGAAGAAAAGATGAAATATTAGTATTATCTCATTCCCTAAATGTCAAATTGAATGTTTATTTAACTTTTAGTAAATAAATCAACAATTCATTTATAATAAAAATTGTTTACTTTTTTCATTTTTTTTTCCAAACATTTAAATCGATTTTAAAAATTTTTAAGAATATTGCAACTATCTGTTTATTATCCAGTATATTTTGTTATCAAATAAATATTTCTAGCATTATTGTAATTTCAGAAATTTTAAACTTATTACATTTGTTAAATTAATTAAAAATAACTTTACTATGCTATAAAATTTGTAACTACAATCAGACACTTAAATAATTAGCACAAAAAAGATTGTTATTAGCAGTAAGCTTTACTAACTTAAAATTTTTAATTAAAATCAAATAAGTTTACAGAAATAAATTAAACGATTTATTATTGATGAAAAAATGAATGCTTTACTAAGAGCAAAGATAAGTTTGTAAAAATGGTAACTTTTTGAAAGTTACAAAAATATTTGTCTCATTGCTTAAAATCTAAAATTATAATCTTTTTCATAAGCATATTTGAATGTCTTCAAAAGAATTTTTATAGGGAAAAGTGAACAAAACAACAGTTATCACTAAATTGGTAAATACATTAGCACTAATTTTACTGATAAAATTTGCTCTTGGCATTGATGCTAAATGCCAATCTATCTAATAATATCTATTAGTGTTCAATAGTTCTTTTTTTAATTTTATTTTTCCATTAATTTAATCAAATAAATATTTTTAAAATCGATCAAAGAAATTAAATCAATATTGTTAGATCATTTTGGAATCTAAGATACAATGTGATAGCATATAACATTTGGTATTTGAATTGAAAATTTGAAATTCATTATATATTACAAAATTCGAAATAGTATTGAAATTGTACTGAATTGGATAATTCATTAAATATTACAAAAATAAAAATAGTATTGAAATGATACCGAATTGGATAACTCATAAAATATTACAGAATTAAAAATAGTATTGAATTAGTGTTACTATAAAAAGTAGTGCTGAAATAGTAAACATAATTAAAAATAGTATTGAAATGGATAATATATATTGCAAAATTAGAAATAATTTTATTAAGCTATAAAATTTTGTAGTTGCAAACAATATTAAATTATTTTGATGATTCTACTAAGAATGCATAGTATTATAGTTTGCCATCATCTAGAAATATAGTTTATTTGAGAATTAATAAACTTTTACAAATTCTACATTTGCTTAAATAAACAATTTATTGACAATTATATTCAATATGATTTAATTTATCTTATTTAATTTAATTTATTGAATTTAATTTATCTTATTTAATGCTTATTTCAGTCTTATTTTACTAAGTGCATTAAGGAAAGCTATCATAGAATCGACTAAAATGTCAATTATTAATAATTTGTGGAATGCAAAATTTATTATAGTTCTTTTTTTTTTTTTTTAATCTGACACTATAATCTTTTCGAATATAAATTTTTGATCTCATAATTTTTAAATATGAAGTTGATCGATTAACAATAAAATTTTTTTTTTCGACTTTTTCTACAATATAATAATGATAAAAGAGAAAAAAATTCAAATGTAATGTTTGCAAAAAAATTGAAATGAAAGATAAATATGGAATGTTTTTTAAAAAAAAAATTAGTAAATCGATTAAAAATATATCTTTTTTAAATTTACTTAAGAAAACAATCCAATACTGGTATTGTTGATATGAATTATCCGATGATACTTTGTATGAATGAATTACGAATTAAAAAAACAAAATATTAAAAAAGATCAATGATTTATTTGTAGGACAAGAAAAAGTAAAAAATTAAATAATCATTTTCCTTCATTTTATTAACTTTGTTGCCCATTTTGAAATATTAATTAAATCCAAAAATTTAATGATTTTTAAATTTAAATTTTGTTTAAAAAATATTTCAAATTTTTCAGTTCTGAAAGTGAAATGCTGATCTTTTAGTGACAAATGATTATCAATAAAATTTAAACTATTCAATGAATCGTTACATTAATCATACGATTGTAAACTAATTAAACCTTTTTTTGATTTATATGATGCATAACTTTATTTTATAAAATTTACTCATTTTTAATGATTCAGTAACAAATAAACAAAATTGAAAAATTTCTAATACCAAAAATTTGAATTATATTTTAAGAATTAGTATGATCGAGCTATTAAAGTAATTAAATTAATAAATTTTTCTTTATATTATAGTTAATATTAAATGGTTATCTGTGCAGTAATTAATAGTTTAGTGCATTTTAATGAATTTAATTTACTTTTGTATTTCAATTTACTTTTGTACTTCAAATTCGAGTAAGTAATAACAGTCAACATGAAAAGTTTATTAATTTTATCAAAAATACAAATTATTCAGCGATTAAATTGTTCTAAAATTATTCATTTAATATTATTTTATTTGCATTGTTGACAACGTAAACAAAATCCATGCGTAATTGGTCCCATAATCCATCCGACAAATGTGCATAGTGATTGCAATGGTTGACATAAATGTGAACATTCTAAAATAGTTTATTAAATATTTTGTGACAAATTAAAAATTGTCGTTTATTAAAAAATAAAAAGAAAAATATGAATTTTGCTTGTTTTTTTTTTTGTTTTTTGTTTAAAATGGGAAAGAATAATGGAATAGAAAAAAAAGCAATATTTAAATTAAACTAATAAAATAGTAGTATTAAAAATATTAAAATTAAATTTGGATTTTTTTAAAATTTGTTTAAAAAAGAAAAAATTCCTAAGATTATATCACTCTAATTTCAGATTATATACCAATTTCATTTGGTATATTTACTTCTCAATATTTAATTATCTATTATTGATTATTGACTGATCGATCATTTTTTCATATCATGATTTCTTCTAGACAAATCAAATGATAGTCTTTTTAATTCCACACTAATTAATCTTTTATTTTCAATCAATGTTACTGTTAGTTATATTCATTCAAAAATTTTTGAGTTATTTACTAATTTTTTTCGAACAAAAATTTCACATCAAAAATTTTTATACTATTATTTACTTAAAATAAATTGTAAAGTAAAAAAAAAAAAATGGAAAAGAGAAAAGATTGAATATTTTTATACCTTCTGGTGTTGGCATCGAATCATTATCACAAAATCCGCATGTTTTAGCGCATAGTTCTTTAGCTAATGCATTTGTACAGTTCATATTACTTTTGCATTTACTATATTTGTCCTCACAGACTGAAAAAGGAAAAAAAAACTGGAATAGATTATATCCGGAAATTACTACTGTAGAACATAAGAAAGCTTCCTGATAGTTTATATCATAATTACTGTAGCAGATTACTGTAGCGGGAGTTGTCATACAGGTATTACTGTAGCTGTCGTTACTGTCGTAGAATTTTTTGTGAAATATTTATCGTCTAAATTTAATTTTTCTAACAACTGCGCTATGTTTATAAGCATACCGGGAATAGTAGATGCAGTAGATGGTGTTGTTCCGCAAAAACCACATGTTCTGGCGCAAATATCATTAGCTATTGGAGTAGTGCAAATTGCACTTTCACATTGGTTATATAAATCCTCACAAGCTGCGATGAATGGAGAATTTATTGCAAATATCTGTCTTGCAAATTTTAATTGAAATTTTTTTATGACAATTTTTGCATAAGCTTACCAGGTGTTACTGTCACAAGAGGTGTTGTTCCGCAAAAACCACATGTTCTGGCGCAAATTTCTTTTGACATTGGAATTGTGCAAACTGTATGATCGCATTGATCGAATAAGTCATCACAAACTGAAAATTATTTAAACATTTTGGATTAATGAAAAAATTCTTTTATTTAAATATTTATCGTTTAACTTTTTTTTTTCTCGATACAAGCTTACCAGGTGTTACTGCTGTAGAAGGCGCTACTCCGCAAAATCCACATGTTTTGGCGCAAATTTCACTAGCTATTGGCATAGTGCAAATTGTACTGTCACATTGATTGTATGCGTCATCACAAACTCAAAAATGTTAAGAATTAGTGAAGAAATATTTGCAAATACACTATCAAATTTAAATTTTAAATTTGAAAAAAAAGTTTGAGAATTTAAGATTTTCAAATTTAAAACTATTCAAAATTAAAACTAATTAGCTTTTCTGAATGCTTACCAGGTGTTACAGCCGTAGAAGTTGTCATTTCACAAAATCCGCAAGTTTTAGCGCAAATTTCTTTTGCCATTGGATCAGTGCAAATTGTGCTTTCGCACTGATTGTACATATCTTCACAAACTGAAGAAAAAAATAATGAAAAACTTAAATTTCATAGATTTATACAAATATTTCTGATAATTGTTGCAGAATTTCAGTTATTAAATCATTGAAAATTATGCAAACACTTTTTGACCAAATTAATTCAATGACTGTATGAATTTTCATATTAATTTTATGAATTAGATAATTATATAAACCTTTATATTAATTATTGTTGTGTTAATTATATTAATTCAATAAATATATTAATTTTTACATCTTGAAAACGAAGTAAAGCACACATTACAATAAAAATTTTCAATAACAATCTATTATAGTGTCAACTTTCAGATAGAATTTTCGAGATTACTTTTGTCATCAATAATAAATCTGATCAATTTTTCTGCCCTTCTGATCATTTGGAAAATGGTAATTATTAATTTTTGCAAAAAGCTTTTACATTATACAAATTATATTCTAATATATTTTGAATTACTAGTTTCATAAAGTTAGATAATTGTTACAACTTCAAATACAATTAAATAAATCTAATTATTTCGGAATCAATCACTTCCTAAATCATAATTATTAATTGCTAATTAAAACTTAATTTTATCATAATCATTAATCGGTAATTGAAATTAAATTAATGCTTTCATATTGTAAAAAGAAAAAAAAATGAAATATTCAAAGAATGACCTTGATTTGCAGCAAATGCGAGTGTTATAAAAATGATAGACATAGTTGCAACAATATGTGAAAACATTTTTCGCTGATATTTGTTTCCTATAAAAAATATTAAAATTGAAAAAATATTTGTCAAAAAATATTTATTATTATTTATGCAATTTTTATCTAAAAATTATTTTATTTCCTATATTTGTAATTGGAATTAGTCCTTATTATTGCCAAAAATGGGCATAATATTAGTGATTAAAATGATAAAATTTTATAAATTTTTATTATTTAAAGCATCAATAATTTAAAAATAAAATTAATTTTAGTAAATATAAAATTTAAGAAAAAATAAATAAAACAAATAATATTTATAATAAATAGATTATTTATTAGAATTTATTATGAAATATACAGCTTATTTATAGCATTAATGATTTTATAAGTCCTTATTGCAGCAACAATAAGCATTAATAACTTAACAAACAATTAATTTTAATAATTATTAAGAGAATTTAAAAATAAAAAATAAACGATTAACAATTATTAGCTGTTTAATTATGAAATGCATTAATTTTTAAGTTTAACAATAAGATTAAAATTTAAAATTATCAGCGAAACTAATATTATATTATGCAAACATAATAAAATTTTTTCTTTTTAGGAACGAATGAAATGAATAGCAAATGCTGTGATAATTTAAACCAAAGGAAAATCATTATCATACAATCATTATCATAACAAAAAGCACTGATATGTTTGAATGAAAAAAAAAGAGGAAAAGAGCCATTGATATCCATCGTTATCATCATCATTAATGATGATAATACATGAAACTTACATAGAATTTATTATGTTTCTCTTAAAAAAAAGCAGCCAATAGTATGAAAGGTTTATTTTTCTCGAATTTTATTTGCTTTATTGATAATATGATTCAATTTAGTGATAAAAAAAATTTTTTGTCCTTATCAATGATTGAAAGTATTGAATTTAATTGAGTACATTTTATCAATTCTTTTTTTTTTTCCTTTGAACAAAAATTTATCTGTTGCATATTTAGGAAATTTGTTAGAATACATACGCATCATTTTAATTTTTTTTCTGTATTTCCTTCCTTTTTTTTTTAAAAAAAAAAAATTTATTTCCGGAATGATTCAACTAAAATAAAAATGAAAATGATAAATTAGCTAAAAGATTTTTTTTCTTTAAATTTTAATAATTTTCATTTAATATTTAAATTTTATATATTTAAAATAAAAATTTATCACAGATATTATTGTATCGTAGTACAATTACTAATAATTATTGATAAGAATGTATGAATAAATGAAATTGTTTCGAGAATAATTATAAAATTTTTATAAAAATTGTAAAATTTCATCTCGTGCTGTTTTATATTTTAATTATTAAAATTCATTCTTTTTTCTTAATAATATCACAATAAATTAAATTTGGGACATAATCAGTAATTAAATGTAAATGATGTAATTACAATAATTGTTGTAATTTATTCATTATAACTTTAAATCATGTATTTAAAGTTATAATGAAATTAAAAATAAAATAAAAATTTTTGTAATTACAAAAACTTTTACATTCGTTTATCTCATTTTTTTTTTCTCTTTTATCCAAAATAAATAATATAAATATCAAAACAAATAAAATAAATAAGCAATTTAAAACTTTCAATGTTGAAAAATTTTTTAAAAGTTACAAAATTAATTCGATAACTTATAGTATTTGTTTTGTTTTTTACAGCAATTTTGTATCTGCCTATTAAAATATTTTTTTTTTAATTTTTATTTTGATTAATTATTTAATTGTATTATCATTGAATGATTTTGTAGGAAAATATTTTGTATGTAAAATATGAAATAAATTTAATTTTAATCAACTTCACCTTTATTATTCTAATATCATATAATGAATGAATCATTACTGCAAATACATTTAGAAAAAAAAAAATCATTGAATTTAAATATTTTATATTTGTAAATGTTCTTTAGAAAGTATTATTTGTATAACAACGGAAAAGAGCTCATTTCCTTCTTTCTTTTTTTTTTTTGAATAGTTTCTAAAAATAAAAATAGGACAGATTTTGAAAAAGTAAAAAGAAAAAAAAGCAAAAGCAAAAAAAAAACGAAAATATAAAATAAATAAATTGCACTTAAAATTTTTGATAATCTTTTAATCTAAACATATTCTTATTACATAACTTGCAAATAAACAAACATTAATGCCATATATTTGCAAACCAAATTCAACAAAATATTTTTTTTTTTGCTAAACAAAAGCGCAATTTGATTCATTTCAAAATGCGCTCATTACAATAAAATAATATTTACAAATTATGGTATAATATGGATGAATCAATAAATATACCCAAACATTTGCTAAATTTCCATTCTGTCATCTTTTTTATTGTATCCAAAAAAATTTTCAAAACTATTTTAAGCTTAAGAACTACAATGATAACAATCGCTGTTGTGGCTTCTTATCAATAATTACTTAAACACTTCTGAATCATTGATAATTTTTTCATTTTGTAAAAAAAAAAAATGAGAAAAATGCTTCTAAAGTCAAAAAAGGAAAACAAAAATCTATGACTAATAAAAAAAAATGATTGAATGATTGATTGATAAATAATTTAAAATTGATATTTGCATTGCATTGAATGCATTAAAATTTGCTAATAAAATTTATGCTTATTATTTGCGCACTAAATTTTGATCAAAATGATAATATATTTATGATTATTATTTATATTTTGATCTTTCGATCAATTTATGATTATTATTTATAATCTGATCTTCTGATCAATCAAATGTATGTTAAATATTGGTCAAAAAAAGAAGGAGAAATTAATAAATCCCTTTTATCATCGATTTATCATCTTTAAAAATCATCTAGATGATTTTTAAAATATATCATATTTAAAATATATATTATCAAAATTTTATTTAAATAAAATTTGAAAAATATTAAATAAAAATTTAAAAAATACATTAGAGAGATGTAGTTTGTACAGTAGAGATGGAAAAATTAAAACTAATTGTGATAATACCATTAGGAATTTTTTTTCAGAAATATCATTAAATTATTTATTTCTTATTTTTTTTTTGTGCTTAAACTAATCAAGAAAAAAAAATTTCTTTTTTTATCAATTGATAAATGAAACAATTTATCAGAGTGCTTATTGTTCAATTCATCAAACTTTTTCAGATATTTTCAACAAATTTTATCATTTCTATTTTTGGTGAATTAAATTTTTCACTTAATTATCATACACTGTTTTCTTTTTTACATATAACTCTGATTAAATTTAACTTTTCAAGGACAAAATTTGTTTTATTATTTAAATAAAGGTAGAAAAATATTAAATAAGAATTAAAAAATACATTAGATACAATGAATACTGATAAACTTGAAAAAATATTTTAATAAGCAAAAATTATAATTTCCTATTTAACATTTATTTGACTATAAAATCAAACTATTATTTTTGCTACTTTCTTTTTTTGCCTAAGTTTATGCATGATAAACTTCAATTTAAAAAAAAATTTTTTAAATATTTGCGGTAATTCTATTAGATCAGATTGAACTTTGCATTTGTTCCAAATATTTCATAAATATTCCATAAATGGAAAATTTTTGAAATAATAATTTGCTCATTTAGAAACAATAATAAAAATAATTATGACAATTACACCATAGATCAAATCAATTAATTATCTAATTAATATATCATTTGAAACAATACGATACCATTAATTAAATTGATCAATTAATTATCTGATTAATCATATCACAAATTAAAACAATCAGCTAATTTATCCACCAACAAAAATTTTTTCTACTAAATTAAAATTATTCGGAAATAAAAAAATTGGAATAAATTTATAAAATGTGCAAAATAAATCTCAAACAATAAGCAAATAATAAATTATTCATTTTTGATTTTTTAAAAATTAGATTAGAAAAAAGTATTAATGAACTGATACAGAATCATTAGCAATGAAGTATAATTTATTGGGTTATCATTTGCAATTATCATTTTAAATTTGAAATCAAATTATTTCTACGTTAACACCTTATCATTCAATAATTTTGCTATCATTTACAATTTCGGAATTAATCTGAAAAAAAAAAACGGAAAATTTAATTAATATAATAATTTTAGCTTCAATAATAATCTAAAACAATGCCGAATTCTTTTTTTTTTCAAATATCTGAATGATTTTTTTGACCATCAATTTTTGAAAAATTAAGTTATTTTATTTCAAATTTAAATCAAAGATAATCTTTCATTTGCTGCCCAAAAAATACATTTGGAAATAAATTCAACACTATTTTTGATTTAAATTTGAAATGAAATAATTTTACAATTTTGAGTAAGCTGAAAATGCATTGTTTTTTTGATAAAAAATTGTATTTAATGTTTATTTTGCTGATTAATTAAATTACTTTGTTAATGAATTAGCATTAGCAATAAACACTATAAAATAATTTAATATAATAATTAATTAATGCTTAGAAATGTAAATCATAAAAAAGCAACTCTTATTATTTTAGCAATAAAAAGTAATATAATGAATAATTTTATGGAATAAAAACTAATTAATATTTTAAAAAAAGTTTGAAGCTTTTAATAAAACTAACAGTTTCACTGATATGATTTTCACTGCTACTAATTTAATTTAATCTAATTAGTAATCTATTTGAAAAATATTTTTTAATTTTCCCATAATTAACACAATAGTTTTTCCAATATTTCATGCAAAAATTCTAAGTTTGTTTTTAAATTTATAAAATAAATTAGCAATTTTTCATGTAATTTACATATTATTTTCATTTATAAATATTAAAATTTTGAAATTACTTTTTTTTTCAAATATTCATTGCATATTATAAAATTCAAATTAAATATTTGCTATATAAAAAGTAATTGAAAAATATTTTTAGATCAGTTTCAAAATCTATGCTAGATAATTTGAATTAGTTTAGCTATCAATGCTAATGAATGTTGATAGTATATTTTTGCTTATTGTATCACCACCTTTAATTGCTATTTCAATTATTTGCTCATGCAATAGACAGTTAAAAATTTTGCCAATTGTTTGTTTTCTTTTTTTTAAAAAAATTATTTTAAAAATATTTAAGCAATTGTCATTTTGTTTACGCTATTATTATTTATGTATGTAAATTGAAATTTTCTTATGAAAACCTTTAAAATTTGACAATTAAAAATTTTGCTAATTGTTTGTTTTTTTTTTTAAATGTTTTGTCATTTTGTTTATGCTATCATTATTTATCTATGTAATTTGAAATTTACTTATTAACAATTTTAAAATTTTAGCCTAGTAATTAAGAAGTAAGAACAAATGCTAAAAATTTTGTTTTTTTTTTCAAAATTTACTTTTTACTATTGTAATTTGAAATTTATTTATGAACATTTTTAGCATTTATTAAAATTTTAGCCTAATAACTGATAATTAATGATAAATGTTAAAATTTTTAATATTCATCAAAATTCCTTTTTTTTGAATGGTAAATCTAAATTATCTTATCAACTGATAAAATTGATAAGTTAAAAGCTAATGAATGCTGATAGTATATCTTTTGTTATTGTAAGAATAAATAATGATTTGGAATGATAAAACTAATAATTAACAAAAAAAAAAAAAAGATAATTGATAAAAATGAATAAATAAATGTTAAAAGTATATATTTTATAGATTGATACAAAGAATATTGATTTAAAATCAATGAATTCAATTCCATCTAAAAATGATAAAATTTTATCAGCAATTACATCAACCAATTCAATCACATCAAATAGTAATTCTGAAAAGCATATTAGCAATAATAAATCAACATTTAAAACTAATGGTAATAAAACAAGTATAAAAAATGGAATAGTTAATACAATATCGAAAAAATCGAATACTCAATTATCGGAAATAAATCAAAAATCAGCGAATAAGCAATCATGGAAAAATGTATGATAAAAATATTATAATTCATGATTTACACGAAAAAAAAAAAACAATTTAAAAGTGTAAATTAAAATTATTCTGTCTAATTTAGTTGTTACCTATTTTCATTTTTTATTTATATTATATTTATTACCATAAATACTTAAGTAAATTGTTTGATTAAATTACTTTTATATTATCATTATTATTTATTTATTTATTATCATTTGTTTTGCTTTTTTTTACTTGTTTAATTTCAAACATTTTTACTTAATTTTAATTATATTAAACAAATTATTGCATTTAAATCTTTTCATTAATGTTTAAGCAATGATTACTTGCACTAATAATTTAGTAATTCTTATCGATAATTTTTTTTTTCATTTTTCATTTTCATTTTTCAATTTCAATTCATTTATCAATTTCATTTTGATATAATTATATAATTTACGATTTAGGCAAAGCAAAATAAATTGAAGCAACAAAATATGCAAATGAAAGATATTCCAAAATTATTGTCGCAGCAAATAGTTCCATCAAATGAATCAAATTATAAATGCTTGGATAAGAAAGTAATTCTTTAAGTAAAAATTTTTAAAATTAAAAAGAAAACAATTTTTATTCCATTCAATGTTTTATTGATAAATCAGAAAAAACAAAAGAAAAATGTCATTCGTTTTAATTTTTTCCTCTTTTTTTTTGTTTTTTTTTTTTTTTAATGTTAAATTAATTAAAGGAAAATTTTCAAAAATAAATAACAACAAAATATAATTTATAAATTAAAGAAATATTGTTTATAAAAATAAATGATATTTTATTAGGTTAGTACACCTATGCTAATTTATTATGATTAAGTTGTTATTACTAAAAATTATTAATGAATTAATTACTACTAATAATAATTTTATTTTGTGATAAATAATAGCAATCGAAAATTGGGTAACTGCCAATTTCATTATTTTAATACTTAAAATTATCTTTTTTATTTGACAAATAAAATTAAACAAAATTGCTTCAAAGCTTTTGTGACAGTTTTAATTTAGGAAAATAATTTACAAAAGATGAAAAGTGAAGAAATAAATTTTTCTAACTTTGAAGGTATTTTATTTACTTTCTATTTTATTTTTTTCATTTATAAAATGCTTGGATAAGAAAATAATTGTTTAAGTAAATAAAAACAAACAAAATTTATTGGTATTTTATTATGTCAGAAAAATTTTTAAATTTTAATATCTACTATTAATATAATAAATGCAATGAAAGATTGCGTCGCGCTTAATTAATATGTGAAATTAAAAAAAAAAAAAACAAATTTGAACCATTTTTGTTTTCAATTCATCTGTTTTTTGCTTTTATTTGGATATTTAAAAAAAAAAATTTATGAAAATTAAAGTTCAAAAAAAAAAAAATTTTTTTTAATAATTTTAGAACAAATGAAACAATCAATTATTTGTGATAGTAATCAGAATGAAACAGAAATTAGCGCATTAATGGCTGATGGCATTGTAATATTTCCACGCCAATTTAAATGGAAATTAATAAATACCGCACAGCAAGTAAAATTACAAAATCCAACTGAAAAACGTTTTGCAATAAAAGTTTGTTAATTATTTTTTATTTTATTATTTTAATACTTATTTTATTATTATATTATTTATAATTTTATTATTTCAGTAAATATTAATTTTAAACACAAACATTAATATAAACATTTTTATCATTCTTATAACAAATAATGTCTTTAAAAAAAAAATATATTTTTTTTTTGTTTGTTTACAAAACAAAAATTATTATTGAAAATTATTATGTTATGATTATTATAATTGAAAATTATTGAAAATGAATTATTGTGATTGAAAAACGAAAAGATATGAAATAAAAATTAAATTCTTACAAATTTCATATTAATATTTAAGAAAACATATTAATATCATTTTTTCATTTTTAAATCATTTATTTATCTACAATATACATACAAATTATTCGAGATTTTTCCAGAATTTACTTTTATTTATTATCATATACCTTTATTAAATCAATAAAATAAACTTTCAACTTGTTACTTTATTAAAAGATTTTTTAAAACATATTTAAATTTGTTAATTTGCTTAGATTTGCAATATGTTCGATTAAAAAATTTAATTTATTTATCAGATTGCTTTAATATTAGTCAGCGTTTATATAATAATATTTAATAAATACTTAATATAAATTCAGTAATTCAGTTCAATTCAGTTCAATTGAAGAGAAAATGATTATTTGCATAAACGTTTTGCATATTTTAACCAATTAATTTTTATCAAAATCAATCAATTTTATCAAAAATACATTTGAAAATGCTTACTTATGGAGAATTTAACTTCAGCTGAATAAATATTAACTCAATTTACTTGTTTTTTCTAAAAAAAAATAATAAAATTTGATTGAAATATAATTAATAAACAAAAAACTAAGAATTATTAAGTGAAAAGATTATTAGTTAGCAAAAATATTTATTATGACTTTTCGTGTTTTTTTGTTATTAAAAAGTAATAAAGCTAAGTGCATTTAACTGATATTAGATATAAGTAATAATTTATGCATGAAAATACGAATAATAATGGAAATGCATGTAATGCATGCATGCATGCTTGCATTACATGCATTCATGCATCCATGCATTTGAATTTCAAATTGCACTAAATAACTATAAATAAAGCACAAAAATTTAAGCAAAATCTAAGCTACGTTAGTTTTTAAAACTATTTGTTATTTTAAAATTTAATTTTTTCTGTTTTAAATTTTAGGTTAAATGCACAGATAATAATTTGTACAGAGTAAAACCAGTATTTACATTTATTGAACCAAAAAGTTCTGTTATTTTTAATGTTAATCGATATGATAGCAATGCAACTATCGATCATATTCTATTTCTAACCACTTCGGTATATATTATTTTTTTAATTAAATTCAAAATTAAAAAACAAAAATATTGAAAATTTTAGATTGGTTATTTTGTAAAATCCTTGGAAAAAAATTATTACTAAAATTTAACTTAAAATTTCAATAATTTATTATATCAAAAGACTGATAGTAATTATATTTGAATCAATAAGTAGTTAAATAAACAAAATGATAGTTTTAGTAAATAAGTGAAAAAAAGTGTAAAATATTACTAATAATTAAGTATTACTAATAATTATATAATTAATTTACTTCTAATAAATATATACTTAATTTAAGTATTAAAAAATTTTTTAAAAAAAGTTTGAACTAAAATATCAATCAAAAAGTTCTCATAGGAGTAAAATAAATAAATAATTTCAGTGTTTTATTTGATGTTTGTTTTGTTTATTAAATACGTCTAATTTTTTTTGCCCAAAATTTGGGTAACTTTTTTTTGCCATTTTTTTAAAAATGCTTTTGAATGACGCACAATAATATATTAATTCATCTGATAGGCGGAAAAAACCGATGATAATCCGCGCCTGCTTTTTGCGGATTCGATGGCAAATAGCGATGAAACTATCGAAATGATGAAAACAGCGCCATTAATAAATTCTTAAATAAATTTTTTAATGCAATTATTTTTTTTTTCTTTTTTATTGTAAACAATAAAAAAATATCAAAAATAAATTAAATAACAGAAAAAGAATAGCAAATTTTTTTCCTATTTTTACAAAATTAAAATTATAAATTAATAATAAATAAAAAGATTTGAAAAGATTTAGTTTTAGAACAATTTTCATTATAAAATTTATTGAATTATTTATTTGATTTTATGCAATTATTCGGCCGAGAATTTTTTAATTTATTTATAAAATTTCATCTTGTATGTAATATTTAAATGAAAAAGTGCAAATTTATGATTAATTTAGCGAAGAATTAGTCAGAAAATAGTATTGAATATTTTGAAATGATTAGTAAATATTATGAATAAAAAAAATAATTTAAAAATATTTATCAAAATTACAAAAGATAAGTGGTAAAGCAGTGATAAGCACTTCCTAGGAGGATATTCCTGAAATTCCATTAGCAAACTTAAAACTTTTTTTTTTTTGCTATTTCATTTCAGATTAGAAATTTTCACGAATAATTTATTTAATTAGAAGGATAAAAAGTAAGAAACAAAGTGAATATTTATCAGAAATTTTTAAAATAATTTACAATTATTGCTAATATTTTCTTCGCATCTTTCAAAAATTTTTTTCATTTCTTTTTTTCATTTTTAAAAAAGATTAAAAGTAAAAGTATGAATAAAAAAAAAAAAAACGAGAAAGCATACATTAATTAATTAATGCTTTTATGTTAGAAGCAAAAACAAAATGATAATTTGCTGAAAAGCATTTAGTCAAAAGTTAGAAAAAGCATTTGTCACGTATCACGTGTCACGTGAATAAAAATTATTTCGCAATAAAAGAAAAATGATTTAAAATTTTTCTAAAATATCCTTTTATAATAATGTTAGCATATCATCGATAATCATTGAAAAAGCTCCATAGCAACGCAATGCAAATGCAACGTAATGCAACGCATATGTGACAGTCGCGTGCATTTGCTAATTTAAATTTTTATCTTTTATTTCATCATTAAATATTTTTTAAAAAAAAAAGAAATGAAAAACATAATTATTAGTTTTTTCTTTTTTAATTAAATATTTAAAAATTTTTTTTATTTTAAAAATGATTTAATATCTTTTTAATAATTAATATATAATCAATTATATTTATAATATTTTTAAATTATTTTAAAAGTGTTTTAATTTAGTAGGAATTATTAATATTAAGAAATAATATTTTAAGAGTAAAGTGAAAGTTTTTAAACCTTTCAAAAAGCAAATATATGTATATATATATAATTGCTAATTTAACTTTTATTCATTAAAAATTTCTAAATTTCTTCTTTTTAAAAATTATTTAATATATTTTTAATTTAATTTCATCCTATTATTGAATATATGATTTAATGCATTCCTCAAATTGCTAAAAATATTTTAATTTAGTAGAAATCTTGTTATAATCAAGAAATATTTTTTTAAAACTAAAATAAAAGGTTTGAATATTTCAAAAAACACAAAGTGCCGTATTAACAGTAAACAAATCTCTTTTCTAAATTTATAAACAATAAGACAAAAAATAGGAATAATTTAGTAATTATCACTGAAAAATTTTAAATCTTGGCTTGCAAGCATTAAAATTAAGTTTTAAATTTATCAAAAAAAAATTGATCTTTGCTCTTTCCTTAACAAATAACTAATTATCAAATCTTAAAAAATAATAAAATTTCATATATGCGCAATAAGCTTTATTGTTGCAAAACATTTATGTTTGCTAATTAATCAAACTTTAAATAACAAATTTAATTGAAATTAGTTAGATACTTAAACATTTAAGTATTAATTTTTTTTAAAATCGTTTATTATGTCCGTTTATTACTTTTATTTTGTTTCCAATTACATAACTATTGTTTTAATTTGCTTTTTAATTAAATCTATCTACAAATACCTGAAAAATAATTTCAAATGCATATTTAAGCACTAGTAATTTCTCAGCTAATGTTATTATATGTTAATTTCTCAAATTTGATATTTGTTCTGTGTAAAACTTTTAGATAATATTTTTATTGTTTTTTTTTTTAAAAAAATTTAACAAAATTTTAGAAATATCAAAAGAGAAATTTAATGAAAAACAAATAGTAATTTAAAATTTACTGCTAAAGATGTCACTTAAACGTGCATTAAATGAGTCCGATATGATTGGTACAGCTAGAATTCTCGACTCATTTCCTGTAAGTTAATTTAATTTAATTTAATTTTAACTTTTATGCATAATTAATACAAAATTAAAAAATTGTCAACTAATTGACAAAATTTAAGTTTGACTATAGTAAATTTAAATGCAGAAACAATTAGTATCATTTCTTAAATAATTTCATTAACTTGTTTGACTTAAATTAAAACTGAGTAAATTAAGGAAAAAAATTATTTTTTCAATGTTTATTTTTGTATTTAAATTATTTCCTTCCTTTTTTTTTTGCATATCTCTAATTTAATCTTATTTTACTTTTATTTTTTTTTCAGTTTGATTAATTAAATACTTAAAAATATTTAATTATTATTTAAGAGAAATGTATATTTATTCTCTTTTTCTGTTTTCAAATCAAAGATGAAATTTATTTATTTATTTAATTAACTAATTACAATAAAATAGTTACTTTATTTTAGAGTGAAATTTTTTCTCGAGATAGCGAAGATCGTTTAGCATTACATTATGCAGCTGAAACAGCTGATGCAGAAACATTTAAACGAATTCTCGAAATGGACCATTCATTAATTCATTGTCAAGATCAAAATGGGTATTTTAAATTAAAATTCTGTTAATTTATTAATAATTAGTAGCAAAAATTTAATCAATTATACAAATTGATTATTTTGATAATATTTCTTACAAATTGTATCTAATTTTCTGCAATAATTTAGTAATTAGTCAGTCTTTTTTTTCTTTTTTAATCGTTTGAATTTCTCATAATATTTATTTTAAATTTTAACTATTCTAATTCACTTTAATTTTCTAATATAGTTTTATCACTGCATGAAAAAAAAATTTTACTACAATTTAACAGATATACGCCATTACTGATCGCATCGATGAGCGGAAATGTACCAGCAATTAAATTAATGATAGAAAATAATATTCAAATTAATCATATCGATAAGGAAAAGCATTCTGCTGTGCATTGGGCTGTTGCATGTGGACAAGTAGGCTTACTTTATTAAGTTATTAAGTTCAAATTAAATTAATAATATAAAATTTTTTTACTTAAATTATTTCCTACAAACAAATTATCATTGCCAACGCTTTCAGAAATGGACAGATAGGCTTATTGCATTAAAATTGCTAATAATTTTTAAGTTCAAATAAAATCAATAATGTGAAATTTTTATATTTAAATTATTTCCTACACACAAATTATCACTGCGATAACATTGATTAATGTTTTAAGAAATATCAGTTATTGTTATTATTATCATCATCATCATTATTATTATTATTATTATTGCAGTCGTTATTGTTAAATATTATTATTACTATTATTATAAAATGCCATTGATAAAGAATTATCGCTATTGAGAATAAAGTTTAATTTAGCAATAAAATCATTTTTTTTTTTTGGAATATGCTTTATTGGTTTAATTATTAGTATTGATGCACTTATTAAAAGCAATAAATTTCATTAATTAATATCCTTAATTAATTAATTACAAAATAAAAACAATTAAAATTTTAGTTGGAAGCATTGATAACATTGCTGGAAAGTGGTGCTAGAGTTGATTGTGTCGATAATCAAGTATGTGATAAATTTTTTTTTTTGTAAAATTATTTCGTTTTATTTTTTAACTAATTTAATTTGAAAAAATTTCATTTCATTTCATTTCATTTATTTACTAGCTTTTCTTTCTAATTTAATTTTTAATTAATCAATTTTAATTAAACAATTATTTATTAATAGATCAAATAATGTGGCATTAATTGATAAAAATTCACATCCATCCTATTTTATCGCATTTATTTTATTTAATATTTTTGAACAAATAAATTCAATTTAATTTCAATATTATTTAATTATTCATTTCTTTTTTTGCATTTATTTAAACAATAAAAAATAATTGAATTAATAATAATAATTAATAGCTAAATAAATAGATATATACTGAATTGAAAATATTTCATTAAAGCTTAGATAATTTGCTTAATTTGTTAAGCAAAATTTATTATAATAAAGATTTTAAAAAAAAATATGTAAAATATCTAGTAAAAGGAAAAATTTTTTTAATAAATTAAACTTGATAAATTAAAAAAGCAGAATTTATGAAATAAATTTAATAAATTAAAACAGAAAAGTTTGTAAAATGAATTTCATAAATTGAAATAGTAAAATTTATGAAATAAATTTAACAAATTAAAATGATGAAATTTAAAAAATTTTTCCTTTTTAAAAAAAAAAAATTAAATTAAAATTAATTTAGGGTGCACAAGCAGTTCATTATGCAGCAGCAGCTACTACCAATGATATTACATTGGAGCGTTGTGAAGCAATATTACATATATTATTAAAATATGGCGCTAATGTCAATGCTCGAGATATCGATGGTAGAACGCCAATATTATGGGCTGCTAGTTGTGGTAATTCTTTTTTTTTGTCTAATTTTAATTTTTTTTTTTTTTTAAAAAAATGGTTTGAATTTAAAAATGAACAAAACAAAACAAAAAAAAATTTAGGCTAATTTTTCTTTTTCTTTCTACTTTTTTACTTAATTTTTTTAAAAGTGAAGGAAAAAAAAAAGAAAAGTAAGTATGATTAATTAAAAATAATGCTAGCAAAAAAAAAATACAAATAAAATATTTTTTTAATTTTTTTAAAAAATTTTTTTATATAATTTAAAATATAATTTTTTTTTTCAGGAAATTTGGAAATAGTAATTATTCTATCACAAATTGGCGGTGATATATATGCTACTGATAGGGATCAATTAGGTGCAATACATTGTGCTGCAAGCCATGGGCATATTCATATTATTGAATATTTGATCAGTAATCTGGATCCGTTTATTGTTAATTCGGTTGACCGGAATGGTGATACGGCATTATTTTATGCAGTAACATTAGGACATTATGAATGTGCTCGATTACTCTTACTTAATGGAGCTGAAGTAAATCATCAGGTATAAATGATATGTCTAGTATTGACTGATTGATTGATTAACTGATCTTTTTGTTTATTGATTGATTCATTGGCTAATAGTCGATCGATTGATTAATTGATTGATTTACTGATTGTTTGATTGAATCATTTATTTATTTGTTTGTTTGATTGATTGATTTATTTATTTGTTTATTGATTGACTGATTCTGACTAATTAGTTGATTAATTGATTTACTATTGTTTGACTGATTTATTTATTTGTTTATTGATTGATTGATTATACTTCTTTTGTCAATCGATTGAATTATCGGATAGATTCTTAAGTTGAATTAAGTGATCAAGGTGAAGAGAGAGAGAGAGAGAGAAGAGAAAGAAATATTTCCAATCACAAATTAATCAAATAAGCAAATGTTGACTTAAATTTAAATTTAAAAATTTTAAGAAATCACTTGTTTTTTTTTTTGTTTAGGATCGTCATCTTCGATGTCCAATTCATTGTGCTGCAGCAAAAGGTCAATTACGAATGCTCAAATTACTAAAACAATTTGGTGGTAGCTGTGAAATTCAAAATCAGCGAGGCGATTTACCAATACACGAAGCTATTCAAGCTCATGCTAAAGGTAAATAAGTGTAATGATTTTTATTAAAGAAAAGTTTTAATTTTTAATTTTGAAAATTTAAGCAGCATAATGGTTTGATTAGTTTAATTTGAAATAATTTCTTAATGCTTATATTACAAAATTTTTCTTTTTAAAAAATTTCTAATCCATAAATCAACTTATTTCATTTAACCATTTATGTTATCAAAATTATGAAATGAACTTCAATACTTCATTCATGTTGTCACCATTATGCGACACTACTTTTATTATCTTTGTTGACACTGATAGGAGCTTCAATACGATGAGAACTATCCGATGAATTTATCATTTGTAAATTTGTTCAAAAGTAATTTGTAAAAATTTTTTTTTTATAAATTTGTAATTTTTTTATTTTTTTTTCACAAATTTTTATTTATAATTTTTAAAAACTTTAACAAATTTCCAATTTCTTTTTTTTTTTTCAGATTGTGTAGAATATTTGCTTGCATTACATCCATCATCGATAAATGTATCAAATTATGAAGGTCGTACCGGATTACATTTAGCTGCCGCATCCGGAAATATGGAAATGGTCATTCTATTATGCACACGAAATGTTGCCATTAATCCATTAATGCTATATAGGGTAAAATATAAATTGAAAATTAAATTAATAATTATTAGAAAATTTTTTGAATTTGAATTATTTAAATTTTAATTATTTTAGAATTTATTTTGAATTGTTTGAATTTCAATTATTTTAGAATTATTTTTAGACAATTTTTTAGGATACACTTTTGACACCGCTTGATTTAGCAATGCAAAAGAATCATGAAATGATTGTGGAATATTTACATTTACGACAGGATGCTAAATTAGCTGACGAATTATCTGAAGAAATTAAAAAGCAAACAAAATTATCTTTGAAGCATCGATTTATTGATGGTAATTTATTGTATTTACTGTTATTATATAATCATTCAATTTTCTTTTTTTTTTTTCATTTCTAAATTAATTTGAATTAAATGAATTTAATTTTTAATTATTAATTAATTGAAAATATATTATTTATATGCCTGAATAAAATGTTAGTTATAAAAATTAAAATTATTGCAATTTCAATATTATCAAATCAATGATAAATAACAGAAATGTTACATTTGAGTAACTAGCAATCAATGATTTAATTTAATTTTTAATAAATTTTAATTTTAGTACAAGAAGGTAAGCCGAGAAGTGCCCCCTCATCAAATGTCACTCAAATAGCCAATCAAGCAGGAAAATTAGCAGTAACAACAAATATTGAAAATAATATTAGAATGAAAAGTGTAAGTGAAGAAACGCAAACAGCAATGCAAATTTATCGAGTTGCAGCTACTAATACATCGGTTTGCAGTTTGCATGCATGCATGCATCATTCATTCTAAGCAGAATGCATGAGTAGCAAAAGTAATTTAATTGTTTAAATTCACAAAATGATTGAAACAAATGAAATCATAATTTCATTTGTTTTTTGTTTACTTATTTATTGTTTAATAAATTGTTTCAAATTTCTTTTTTAATTTAATTCATTCTATTGTTACTTTAAAAAACAAAAAACAAAACAAATTTATGTTTAATTTAAAAAAAAAAATTATAAAATATAATAATTATAAAAAATAAACAAAAGAAAAAAAAGGGAAGGAAACGATTTTTAATAAATATTTTTTTATTTTTTTAGAGACCTGAATCGCATGATAGTAACAATGTGACAAAAATTTGTCAATCTACTTCACCGATACGATTACTTATACCTAAAGCAACGAGTACTGCAGATCTTGAGCAATATTTACCTAAGAAACAATTCGAAGTAGGTTAACAAATTTAAAATTTTTTATTATTTAATAAATAATTTTAAAGTTATTTAAAAAAACAAAAAACAAAAAAACGAAAAAATTGAATAAATTAATTGTTCATTCTATTGGTAATAAAATTTCACAAAATTAATTAAATTTAATATTTTTTAAACCAAAAAAAAAAAAAATTGAAAAGAAAGATTTGGAAAAATTGTTTTGGAAATTTGAAAAAATATTTAGGAAAAAAATGAGAAAATTGGAGAAATTAATAATGCAAATTGGTCATACAATAATTATTGGTCATCAGAAGAGGATGAAATAAACAATGAATATGAAAATAAAAAACAAATAAAATTATCAAAGTAAGTTTGATTAGCTTTTGAACAAAATAATCATTAATTAATTAGCTAATTATTATTTCATTAGGTTTGCCATTAAGGAAATCATATACTATTCGTTTTAATATTATTATAAATTTATAATAATAAGATTATTATAAATTTACATTAAAAGTTTAGGAAAATTTTTTTCAATAAGGCTATTAAAATAAAATGTTATTATAAAAGGAAAAAAAAATTTGCTAATTAAAATGTAAAACTTAAAATTTTAGAAATTCTAAGAAATTCAAAAATGAAACATAAAATTTGACTTTAATTGTAATTTGACTATATCAATTAACATTATCAATTGTTATTTAATAAATGTATCAATTTGAACTTCCAATAATTTTGATTCTAAAAATACTAAATATAAATCAGGCCATTTAATAAAGCAAAAAATAATTTATTTAAAAACATTTAAAACAAAAAATAATAAAAATAATTCATTTAAAAAAAATTATAAAATAGCAAAAAAAAAATAATTTTGGATAATTTTTTAAATGATATTAAACTTATTTCTCTATATTTTCTAATACATTTTTAAATTTAAAATGAAAAAAAGTAAAATGATATACAATTTTTTTTTTTTTCAGAAATAATTTAAACAAATCAAGAAATGAATTTGATTTGCAATTGAAACAATTGAAGGAAAATGAACGATTGTATGACAAAAATGAAAATAAAGAAAAGTTGAAGAAAAAATTTGTAGCAGTGACAAGAATTGATGAAATTTTGAGTAATAATGATAACGGTGATAACGATGATAACAATGATAATGGGAAACATATTAATGATAATGCAGAAAGTAGCAGTATTTATGGTTTAAGTGATATTTCACACTCAGGTAAGCAATTAATTTCTATGTGTAATTTTAAGTTATCAATAAATTTTGTAATTCTTTTTTTTTTTTTTTAAGAGAAAAATTAATTAAATAAAATTAATCATAGATAATCATTTCTAATTAATTCTAATAAATCTTGTAAATAAATTTAGTACTTAATTGCGTATTGAAAATGAAATTATATTTTAAAATATGTATTTATTATATAGTAAATTTCATTGCTAAAATTTTATCATTCAAAAAAAAAAGTTAAAACAAAAGAAACGAAAACTTAATTTTAGCAATTAATTTTTTTTTTTTTTTGCTATAAATGAGTAGCATTTACCATTCCTAGTATACTTTATTAATTTAGTAAAAGTTATAGTATTAAATTATCACGAGAAAATTATCATGATAATTTTACCTGTATAAATGTTAAGTGGAGTTAATATTGTATATATTTAAAGTTAAATTTAAATGTGAAATGTGATAGATGGAAAATTAAAACAATTAAGTTTTCTATAAAATATTGAGAATTAGATAATTGAAAGTACTACAAACTTGATATGAATAATATATTGAATATAAATATAATATACAAATTTTGAAATTTCAATAATTTAAAGTGCTACTAATTTGATAGGAAAAAATATATATTTGAATTTATGCATAACATATAAAATATTAAAATTTCAATAATTTAAAGTGCTGTTAGTCCTTTCTAAATACCTAAAATACATATTGAAATTTTAATAATCAAAAATGCTATCAGTTTTATATAAAATATTAAAAAATTTGAATAAAAATTAATTCGATATGAAATAATATACGTAATTGAATATATAAAATACATAAAATATTGAAACTTAAACAATTAAAATTGCTATCAGCTTTGTATTAAATATTGAAATTTTAATAATTAAAAGTGCTAAATGAAAATAAATATTGAAATAATTTAATTTGTTATTTAAGAAGGATCAATCACTGCAATGAATGATTATCAGAAATGTTATTCACAGCAAAAAATGCTAAAAAATGTTTGCAAAAATGATTTTGAAAAGAAATTAGCAAAATCAGTTGGCTCATTGCAAGTTGGCATTTATCGAAATGATTGTGGCGAAGTTATAATGCAACAAAAATCTAATAAAAGTTTTTTTTTTAATTTCTTTTTTTTTTTTGTTTAAATAATTTAAAAAATAATAACTAACGTATTTTATTAATAATTTATTCATATTATTATTATTTGGATTCTTTCTTAATAATTTAATTTTTCTTAATAAATTTTCTTAATAATTTTTTTAATAGTTTTTCCTAATAATTTTCTTAATAATTTATTCATATTATTTATATATTAATAATTTATTCGTATTTTTTCAAGGATAACTTTTACAAACCATTTTTCTTCTCCTTTTTGGAATAATCGAAAAAATGATATTAATGAAAAAAATAATTTTAAATGTCTTTTTTTCATTCTTAAAAAAAAAAATTTAACTTATCCCTCTTTCTCTGTGTATATATTGTTCTTTAAGAAATTTACTTAAAATTAATAAAAAAATTTTTTTCACATATTTGAATTTTTTTTTAATCATGAATTGAATTAGCAAATGATTAAATTTCTAGGCGTTAAATTTGACTCAAAATTTACATTAAATATTTCATATATAATTTATTATGAGAGAATATTAAAATTTTTAATTAAAAACTATTTGAAATTAAATTTCAATTTCAGATAAAAGAATTGGTCAATGCTATGCACACGAAGAAGCAATTTTTAATGAATTAACACATTTGAAAAAAATGCAATTACAATATGGCAAAGTAAAAGAGCCAATATTGGTTCGAACATTAATAAATAATTTTTGTAAAATGTATAATCTCAATCCAATACATTTCAAATTTAACACTTTTCATGCATGGGAAAAATTTCTTTGTGGTTTGTTTACTTTTTAATTTATTTGTTTTTTCAATAACAAAAACAAAAACAAAATGAATGAGCAAATTTAATGAACAAAATAGTATTAATAATAATCACTATTTAATTAATCATTTTTCTCAATAAAAAATGAGGAACAAATAGAATAAATTAATAAGTAAATAATATCTGTTGTTTAATTTCAACTAAATTTAATATTTTGATAAAAATATTTATAAAAAGAAAAAGTAATTTTAGTTTTTTTGCATATTTTTTTTACGGTATATTTTATTTATTTATCAAATTTAAATTTTTCTTTTTTTAGCTATAGCATCAGTTATTTTTTTCAGTTATTTTCAGTTATTTTTAGTTATTTTTAGTTATTTTTTTCTAAAAATATTACAACATTAAATTTCAGTGATTTTTTTTTGATCAAAGATTTTAAATGTATTTTTAATTTTCTAATATCTTTGATCTTATCATTCTGATAATGATATCAAATGCTTCCCTACTTATAGAACAGCTATTTGAGTGTTAGTAGAAATGAAATATTTTGATCAGTTCAAATGATCAATACGCATCCAATTTTGTTCTCAGTGAATATACAACTGATCAATTAATAAAAAATCAATAAAAATCAATCAATAAGAAATAATAATTTCTTATTGATTATGCTAATAATACATTTTTTCGTTTTAAGATTATCTTTCAGATCAATTGAAACTGCTATATTTGGAGGAACGAAATCGAATTTTCAATTCGCATCGTTCACGTTATTTAGCTATGAATAAGTAAAAATATTTTTTATATTTTTGATTTATTTTATTCTCATTACAATAACTGAAATTTAAATGATAGTTTTAAAGTTTAAGTATTATCAAATATAAAAAATGAAAGTTGAATTAATTAATCTGTTTTATTCACAATTCAATATTAAAATACTGAAATTTAAATGATAGTTTTAAAATGAAAATTGAATTAAGTAATCTATTTTATCCTCAGCACAATATTGAAATGCTGAAATTTAAATAATAGTTTTAAAATCTAAATATTAGTAAATATAAAAAATAAAATTAAATTAATTATGCATATCAATACTATGTGAAAAGAGAAATTTACGTTTCACTAAACGTTTCGTTTCACCAAATAATTGTTAATTGCGAAAAAACTATTATTATTGATTTTATTGTAAAATTTGTAAAAAAAAAAAAAAAATAAATAAATTGTATTTATATGCAAATATTTGTGATATAATTTTATAATTTGTACTTACAAATATAACTTTCATTCTTTTTTACAGGTATAAAACAAATTTACAACAGAAACAGGTATGTAACAGTAGCACGGCGTTAAGTACGATCACGGAAGGTATACGTTCAGCTCACAGTGATTCATCTCAAATTGCAGTATGCAACGGTGAAAAGCGTTGTAATTGTTTGTATAATAAACGTGACCTGTTATAATTTATTCTACGAAAGTTTAAATTGCTAATTTAATATTAATATTATTTATTAATAGTAAGAATTTAAAATGCTTATAATTGATTTGTTATTATTTTTGAGATGCATTATTTTTTTTTAGTTATTACTTTCGATACGTAAACAATTCAGTTATTACTTCTTGCATGTATAATATTTAATTATTACTTTGGACACGTATAAATAGTATTTGAAAATAATTCAGCAATTGCTTTCAACACGTGTACGATTCAGTTTTTACTTTTGGTACGTATACGATTCAGTTTTTACTTTTGGTACGTATACGATTCAGTTTTTACTTTTGGTACGTATACGATTCAGTTTTTACTTTTGGTACGTATACGATTCAGTTTTTACTTTTGGTACGTATACGATTCAGTTTTTACTTTTGGTACGTATACGATTCAGCAATTGTTTCCAACACGTATACTAATCAATTATTACTTTTGACACGTAAATGACGGTATTTGAAAATAATAACAACGTGATCGTTACATATATATCTATTTGATAATATAAAGTATTCAACATTTTGTATTCTTTTTATTTCTAATCTTAGTTTATTATTTTAACTAAAAGTAGAAATAAATGAAATTTTATTGGAAATAAATTGAAACTAAAATCAAAATTTTTAAATTACAAAAATAGGACAAAGCTAATTTAAAGCGCTAAGTTAACAATTTATCAATTATTTTGTTGCATTTGATTTATTTGTAGTTTCATTTCTTTTTAAATTATTTGACGGTAATAATGGTATCATTTTCATTTCTTTTAAATTATTATTCCGTTGTTCTGAAAATAATATATTTAATAACATTTGACAATTTTACATTTTTTTTTTTTACTTATTTAACATCTAATATCCTTTAATACTTTTTATTTAATTTTTAAATGCTATTTTTTATTAAATTTAAACAGTATATTAAATTAATATTAGAATACATATTTCAGAATTAATTATATTTTACAAAAAAAGATAAATTTTTATTTTAGTTCTACTTAAATATGCACCAAAAAGAAGAAAAAATTTTTGATATTTTAATAAATTGTAATTTAAAAAGAAATTAGTATTCAATTAAAAAATATTTATCAAAAATATAACTTAACGAATATCAATTTCATCCACAACTGGCGTCTTTGTCTTCATTTCACGTTCCGCTCGTTGTACTGTTTTATATACGTCAGTGTAATGCTTTTGTACTGCCTTTAATTTAGGATAAAATTTAAAAATAATTACTTTTCAGATGTTTACAAAAGTAATTTAATATAATATTATAAAATTTTCACCAATTATTTTCGTTTTTTTTTTTTTTCTTTTTTGAATTTGCATGAAAAGATTGAAAAAGAAAGGAAAAAAAAAGTTAAATATAAATTAAAAAAATTTTTTTCGTGAATATTTCTTAATTACAGACAATAAAATTTTTGTTTCTTTAATTTGTTTCATTAATTTTTTTATTTGAAAATAATTTAAACATAAATTAGTCAATGATATCTGAAATAAATAAATTAATTAATTAAAATCTCTTTAATTAAATAATTAAAAAAACTATTTCAAGATTAATCAAGATTGATGCTAATTATTAAAATAATATTAAAACATAATTTTATACTTTAATAACATTACTAATGGCAAAATAATAATGAGTTAAATGATAAGTATGATAACAGAATCTATTTCCATTATATTATATGTTAGCTAATTAATGGATTAATATTCATAAATACAACAATAAAAGAAATTTAATTTAATTTTTTTTTAAATACTTCTTCAAATTTAATTCGATCATCACTTGTACTAGTGGTTGTTTCATTGAAAATATCACCAAGTGATAATGTTACAGTTTTTTTGAATGTTTCTGCTGCATCACCCGGTGTTTCCGGATCAGACTGATAGAAATGACCATATTTCCGATTATAAACTCTGATAATTAAAATATTTAAAATTAAAATCTGATAAATAAAAAAATTTTTTTTCTTTTTAAAGAAAAAAAATTTTTGATTTCTATTAAAAGCTAATTGAATAAATGTAAAATAAATTCTAGATTAATCAACCGAAGATTAATTGCTGAAAAATGAAATTTTTTTCAATACAAAAAATATGTGGTGATAAAATGATAGCATACTGATATGTATCCAAGATATTTGCAACATTAAGAAATGCTCTACGTGCACGTGTTAACGCATTTCCGTGTAGCATAAACCAGTTATACGTGAAGATAGACGTTGTTAAAGCCATCAAACTACCCGTTGCTTCATCATAGATATACATCAAATTACTCATAAAACTTAATATTACACCTTTTTTTTTTCTTTTTAAAGCAAAAATAAAAATAATTAATTTATTCAAATTAATTTATTTATTTAATTAGAATTTTCTTATGTAATTAACTTTTTAACAAAAAAAAAACTAACTAACTAATTAATTAATTAACTCTAACTTTGTACTTTAACTAACATTCATTTTTCATTTAAACAATCGAATTCATTTTACTTTTATTTCTTTATTTATTTATTTATTATTAACTTTCAAAAAAAAAAAATTAACTAACTAACCAGCTAACTAATTAAACTTAACTAATCCATTAATTAACTAATTTACTAACTAATACATCTAATTTCATCCATTTACGTGTATCATTACGCTTATATTTTATTCTTATTTACTTCAATTTATTTATTTTTTCCGTATAACAATTTTTTTTTAGACACGTAACGTATACGTGTTTGTAGTACTTTTTCTTTTAGAAAAAAAAGATTGAAAAAAAAGAAATGGATTTAACCAAGAAAGTCCAACGGTGAAAAGAATACAAAGCGTAGCATTGAAACGTGAAAAACGTTGAGATTTCGTTGATTTAATACTATCCGATGAGTTCATTGCACTTTTTGACTAAAAAATTAAATAAATAAATTAATTAATTAAAATAAATAAATAAATAAACAACAATCTTAGATTAAAATAAACAAAATTTAATTTTTATTTCATTCACCAAATTGATTGTTTTTTAAAAATACTATTTTTAAAATGTTGAAAAGAATGAAAAAAAAAAAAAAAAACGAAGTATTTAATGCGATCAAATAATAATTATTAATTGCAAACGTAAACGTGAAAAATTACTAAATAAAATTTTTATAAAAAAAGAAAAAATAAACAACCAATTATCCATCCTTTGTTAAAATTACTAAGAATTATATAATTTAAATTTAATCAAAAATTGATAATTAAGGATTATACAATTTAAATTTTACCAAAAATTTCAAAAGTTAAATTTGAAATCAAAAAAAAAAAAAATAAAATTAGATGAAATTAATAAAAAATTTTCATTCATGTAAGAATTCATACGTAAAAGAACACGTATTCGACGTTTTATCACTGCAACTGTTAAATTATAAACTATTAAATGAATTATTTTCAATTCAATTTGCATTTTGTACTGTTTTTAATTTCATTGCGTTTATTATTTACAATAAAAAAGAAACGAAAAATTTGTTTATTTTATTTATTTTATAAATTATTAAAAAAAAAAAAACTAATTCGTATGCAAAAAGAAATTTCTAAGTAATTAGAAATTTTATCATTTCTGTATTCTTTTCTCCTTGTTGTTATCAGTCAATTGCATTTCTCTGTTATTTTATCAATAAAACTTTTTTATCATTAATTTATCAATTCAAAATTGAGCAGAGAGTGCTCAATTTTCTTATCACTATTCCTTCATTACTTCTTTTGATAATTGAAATTATTTCGATGATTATTGCATAATATATTTTTTTTTAACTTTTATCCTATTTTAAATTTTTTTTTAAAAAAGAATGATATAAATATTTATTATTTAGAAAATAAATCACATTATCAATTTTGACTTCTATTCAATTCATATATTTAAATTATCAAATTTAATTTCATATTTTTTAATTCACGCATAATCTTTTTTTAATATAAAAATTTTGATAAAATTGAATTATTAATCTTTAAATATAACTCTTAAAATAAACCATTAAAATCATACTATTAATCTTCACAGTTAATTTTGTTAATTTAAACTATAATATATTTTTATTTCCCTATTTTCCCACAATATTTAATTTTAACATTTTATTTTGACTATTTGATTAAAAAAAAAAACGTTTAATTATTTCAATTAAATTTCTATCTCTTTAAAAATTAAAATACTAATTAAATTTATCATTAACAATCAATTTTAAAAATTTATGCAAAAAAAAGAAAAAAAAAAGACAAATTTACTTCATTATCTATTTTTAGATGCATTTCAGTTTAATAAATTTTATCTCTTCTACTATCAGTGATATTTTTATAGCTAATATAATTTTACCAAATAATAAATTCAAAATAATCACTGACAAGTAATCAAGAAAGTTTAAATGAGAGAAAGTAAAAGTTTACATTTACTAATATTACTTCTCTTCCTCTCTTCACTTTTTCAAAAACAGTAGAAAAACTTGTTTTTCTTTTTTATACAAGAAAAAAAACCTGTTATTTTAATTATTTTTTTCCTTCAAAAAGAAAAGAAAAAGAAATTTTATATGAAAATTGAAACTTTAATATTTGTTATTCGATTATATTATCACTTTTTTAAAGTTAAACTATTCTATCGATTTGAACTTTTTTTTTTCCAAAAATTTGATGATTAAATTTAAATAATATGCTTTATAAGTAAATGTGATTTAAATAAATAACAACAAAAGACTAAAGATGAAAAATGTGAGTTAAACAAATTTAATTCATAATGAATCTAATTATTTTAATTAATTTATAATTATTTTTACTGACAAAAATTATTGAAAGGATTTAGCTTTAGCTAAATTAATAAATATTTAACTTAAAAGTGTAAACAATGAATAGTACTTAAAATGTAGCAAACAAACATTTTAGTATGATTCAAGAATTAAATAACTAGTGATAAATTGTAATAAAATGTAGTTTCAATCAACAATTCATTATAATTAATTATTCAATAAACACTTTTACATTTGCAAAACTATTTGTTAATAAAATTTTGTAACATTTTTATTAAATAATAAATTCAAAAAAAAATAATAAATAAAAAACTGTAACCTAAAAATATATAAAAATTAATATTTTTAACATCAATAATTTTATTAAATATTGATTTGATTACAAATTTTTTGCATCATTTTTCATTTTAATTCTATTTTCCATTTTTAATTTAATTTTTCTTTCTATTTTATTTGCCATTTTATTATCACATATTGATATTAAATTAATTATTTATTGTTGTGGTTGATTAAATAAATATCATTTGTTTATATTGAATGCATTGCTATCGTCAGATGACAAAAACAGATGATTTCTTCTCTTACATTACAACCATGGAATAGAAAAGAATACTTTAAAATTTGTTAAAACAAAAAAAAAAATGTATACATACTTGTTTACATATATGTATTCAAATATGTGTGGGCGTATTGACGCGTAGGTCTGCCACCAAAATGTGTGGGCGTATTGACGCGTAGGTGGTGTCACCGAAATGTGTGGGCGTAGATGTGTGACTATTGGCGTATGATTGGGTATGCTGCTTTGACGTGTGAAATGTATGTGTGGGCGTACTAACGCGTAGGTGTGTCACCAAAATGTGTGGGCGTAGATGTGTGACTATTGGCGTATGATTGGGTATGCTGCTTTGACGTGTGAAATGTATGTGTGGGCGTACTAACGCGTAGGTGTGTCACCAAAATGTGTGGGCGTAGATGTGTGACTATTGGCGTATGATTGGGTATGCTGCTTTGACGTGTGAAATGTATGTGTGGGCGTACTAACGCGTAGGTGTGTCACCAAAATGTGTGGGCGTAGATGTGTGACTATTGGTGTATGGGTGAGTATGTTTTGTTGTGCAAAATGAATGAGTGCTACACAGTTAATTGTTTATTTTTCAAAATCTATCAATCAAATTTGAAAATAAATGTTTGAAGCGAAATTTTAAATTAATGTAAGTTTCAGATTACATTTTGCGATAAATTTCAAATTGTTTTTTTTTTCTTTCTTTCTTTCTTTTCTTTTCTATTTGCTCTATTTATTGGGTCGATTTTATGGTGATTTATAATGTCTGATCAAAGGACGGTAAGTAGTTTACAAAAAAATTTAACAAATTGATTTTTTTAATAAAAAATAAAAATAAAAAAGAACAAAATAAATTAGAGAAAGGGTGAGAGAGAGGAAGAGAGAGAAAGAAAGTGCAGGTGGTATATTTTCTCATATATGTATTTTTTTGAATTGATTGTTTATCTATTTAATATTTTTTTAGATTTTTTTTTATTTTAAATTTTAAAAAATAATTCTTGAAATTTTTATTTTAATTTAAAAAAAAAATTGAGTGAGTTAATTTATAGGTTATTGGTTTCTTCATACTTTTTCTCACTGTTTATTTTTTGGAATCAATTGGTGGTTTCTTTATGGCAAGGTTAGTATTAAAAGTGAAATTTATTTAAAACCAAAACAAAAAGTTAAAATAACTTAGAAATTAATAAATTTGAAATTTGATAAAATAAATTTTCCATTGGTTACAGTGTAGTGGTATCAATTGAAAAACAATTTCAAATATCAAGTCGTATGTCTGGTTTAATGGTTTCTGCCGGTGATTTTGGTTATATACCATCGGTGGTTTTCGTTAGCTATTTTGGTAGCAAGGTATTTTTTTTCAATAAAGTTTTCTTTAATTTTAAAAAGTATTTTTTCTGTTTTTTTTTTCTAAATTAGTAATTTAATTTTTTATTTTAAAAGTTAACGATTTTTACAACTTTAATAGAATTTTTCATTAATCTTAAAAATAATCTGATTTTTTTAAAAATTGTACTTAATGCAATTATTTATTTGCAATTATTTGAATTGATTTTTAAATTTTTTTTTTTTCAAAACACAATTATGTGATTTGTTGATATGTACGGAAAAAATAATAATACGAATCTTGAAAAATGAATTATTAATTAAATATTTTAAGTGTTTTTTTTTTAAATCCTATTTTACTCAGTGCTTTATTCAACACCGTAATTATTTATTACTTTGTTGCCATTTAAAAAAATATATATTTTTTGCTAGCAAACAAAGAGAAATTTAAAATAATCAAAAGTTACTCTAAAATGAATGCACTTTGAATAAGTAAATAATTTATTTCATTTGTTTACTTTCTTACCTCTAAGATATAAGAAGTAATTAAATTGAAATTTGCTAAAAAATATTCTATTATTTATTGCATTTGCAATTAAATATGCTAATTATATAACGCTAAACAATCAAATTAAATCAGAAATAAAAATTTGAGAAAAAAAATTGAATTTCTAAATTATTTTTTTCAGATAAAAGATAAAATATTAGAATGGAACAATTACTAAAACACTTAAATATATGAGTTAAGCTTTAATTAAGAAGTTTTTTTTTTTTTTTTTTTTTTTTTTTTGTAAATTTAAAATTTGAATATTTTTTTAATTCAGGGAAATCGAGCTAGATGGATTGGTGCTGGTAGTTTAATGATTGCATTTGCTAATATTCTCATTAGCATGTCTAATTTTCTTTTTCCAATGCAAAATACTCAACTTAATTCAAAATTTATTGGTAAGATTAATTTCCATAATATCTTTATAATGAATAATTGTAATTAAAAAAAATTGAATAAGAATTGAAATTAAATAAATAAAATTTTAGCATTTTCTTTTTCATATTTTACATACCATTCATAGAAGAATGATAAAAGTAAGTAAGTAAATAAGTATACTGTAAAATGTTTACGTACTTATACGTATTACAGTAATTTCCATCTTACTTTATTACTTTCATTTTTTTTTTTTTTTTTTTTGTTTTTGTTCCTTTTTTCAGAAACAAAATTAATATCTGAACAAAGTAATCGAATTGATGAGATACAAGCAAGCACATTTTTAAATCATGCAAAAACTTTTTCAAATGTTGAATTAATTCCGGTAATAATGTTTATCACTTTTTTTATTTTTGTTTATTTATTTATTTTTGGTATAGATTACGTTTTTAATAATTATTTAAATAATTTATGTATCACTTAAACAAACTTATTATATTAAGATAAATTTTAATTTAGAAAAATTCTATGAGAGTATAACTCTCTTGTTTTAATTTCTTTTTATTTTTTCCAAATAGTTTCTTTTTTTTGAATGAATTATTTGATTTAATTTTATTACTAATTAGCGATTAATTTAATTAATTATTAAGTATTGCTTTGAAATATGAAATACTATTTTTTAATTCGTTTAAATTGACCAACTAGAAGTAAGATGAAATTATCATTTTGTTAAAAATTTTTTGAATGAATTTTGTTAATAATTAATATCGTTTACTTAATCTTAAATATTTTTTCTACATCTCTTAGAAAACACTTAATTTAAAACATAATCAATGATAATCAATAAATAGATATTAAATTAAATATTTTTTTTTAAAAAAAAAAAAGTAAAAAGTAATTTTAATTTGTTTCAGTTAGATGAAGCTTTGAAAACGTATGCGTTAAATACTACGTTACGTCAATTTGCTAATGAAAAACTTTCATTATGTTTTCATCAAAATAATTCCAATCAATTATGTGCTATATTTTTTGTTAGTTTTTAAATTTTAAAATTTGCAAAATCTAGGCTATTTATTAATAATTTTTAAATTTCGATATATATATATATTAATTTCAAATTTAAATTTGATAATTAAAATTTAAATTTTTATTAATTTTAGAATTTCTTGGAGCAATTAAATCAGCCTAATATGACGGAAATTTCGAATCTACGCATTTTGACTGCTTCACCATTTTCATTTTGCAATACAATGTTCAATGCACTTAGACGAGAAGTATGAATTTTATAAAATTTGAAATTAAATTATTCAATGTTAAAAACTAGAAGAATTATTTGATATTGTGAAAATAATTAATTATATATGCAAAAGATATTTTTCAATCATTAATTTCTAATTTATTTTCTCCATTCTTATTATAACTGATAATCTATGATAAAATATTGTTCAATTTTTCTTATCACTGTTTTATCAATTGTATTTTCATATTCTTTTTATTCAATCAGTAAAAAAATTCATTATCAGTTTCATTCTCATATTCGTCTATTCTATCTGCAAAAAACAGAATGAAAAAAAAAAGAAGAAAAAAACTGAAATGAAATTGAATAGTTGCAAATTTTGCAAAAATGTTGAAAAGATAAGATCGAAAAGTTAAACTTTTTGAAATATCAAAAAAAAAAAAAAAAAAATGATTCAAATATAATTTTATTATTCATTTAAAAATTTATTTAACAATCATTTATAAATAACTTTGAAGAATATAAAAAGTAATATTACTTATAGAAACAATTTGTCTCTGTCAATTCTATATTTTTTCTCCTTTTTTGTTTTTTTTGTTTTTTTAATGAAAATGATTTTTAAATAAACAAAATGTAAACAACATTATTATTTTTTAGCTTATTGCTAAACAAATAAAATGAATAATGATTAGTCCTCAAGTACTTCAGTATTTTTTTTAAAAAAATTTATTTTTTATTTTTTAATATTTATTAACTAATTATTTTTTATTTTTATAGATTAATAAATTTAATTGTTCAAATGGATTATCAAATATTGGACCATTTATTATGATATTTGCTGGCTTACTTATCCTTGGCGTTGGCCGAACAATGCCTTATTCACTTGGCCTTCCATTAATTGATGATAATGTGAAACGACAAAACTTGCCACTTTATTTTGGTTTCTATCAAAAAGATTATTTGTTAATTAAAGAAATGAAAAATGATTAATAATAATAATAACAATAATAATAATGTAAATAATAATAGTAATGATACTGGCAATAATAATAGTAATAATGGTAACAATTAATAATAATGTAAATAATAATAGTAATAATGCTGATACGATGATAATAGTGATATGAATTATAAAAATAATGATAATAATATAAATTTAATGGTGATAATACTGATACTAATAAAAATAATAATAGTAATATGAATTATGAAAATAATAATAGTACTAACGGTAACAATTAATAATAATAATGTAAATAATAACAGTAATTATATTGATACTAATAAAAATAATAGCAGTGATATAAATAATAATAATAATAATAAGCAATAACAACAATGATAACAAAAATAATAATAAACAGTAGTAGTAATAATACTAAACAATGTCCATAATAACAATAAATAATAGCAATGATAATAATAAATAACAATAATAATAATAATAGTTTTGTTTTTGAAAATCTAATTTAGATAAAAAAAATGTAAATTTTGACATTAAAATTATTCACAAAATAATTAAATTTATAATAAATTTATAAAATAACTGAAAAATTTTGTGTATTTATTTATTTAATCTAATTTTTTTTTCATTTTTTTCGAATATTTTAGCTGGGATGTTTTTTATTCGTATTCTTGGCCCATTTCTTGGCTTTTTAATTGGTAGTGTTGTTAATAATTACTATTACAGTTTTAATGGTAAGCACAATTGTTGATAAATTATTTTATGATACAGTATAAAATGCTACGTTTTTTTTTCTTTTTTACAAATTGCATTTTATTGATATCAAATTAATGAATGTAATTTAAACATAAAAATTTTAGTAATAAAAATATTGTCATTGATTAAAAGTTTATTAGAAATTACAAATAATTAATTAAAAATTTATTATCATTTAATTAAATGATTTATCTGCAATGATTTTCTAATACAAATTATAGATTTTGTATGCAAATGTTTCACTTTTGATTTTATTCAATGATTACTTTAAAAAAAAAAAAAAAAAAGGAAATCAATTTTTTAAATTATTTGAATTTTTAAACGATACTGTTCGTATTTTATTTTCTTGCATGAATTTTAAAATTACAATTTTTATGAATTCCCTTTCATGAAAGAATACTATTTTCTTTTCTTTTTTTAAATTATTTCTTTTCACAAAATTGTAAAATTTAATTTTACTCAGTTCAAATTCGATTAAATTATCAAACGCTAATTATTTCAAACAATTTCACACTTATCAAAAATTTTAAATAATAATTCGTTAGCGATCTTTGTCACAATGTCAACGACAATGTCATCACTCATTAGACTGCGATTGGTGAAATTGTAATTTTCACTTCTAAATGTTTTTGTTTTCCTTACTGAAAACGAATAATGTTTGTAGTCCGCCTTCCTTAAATTTCAAAAAAAAGAAAAAGTTTTCAGTGCCAGCTGGGCTAACATCGCGTGATCCATCATGGATTGGTCGTTGGTGGGCTGGTTTTCTTGGTATTGGTATTACGATGCTTTTTCCATCGTTAGCTTTGTACCTCTATCCAACCTGTGTCAATTATAAATCTAATAATTTCAATGACAAATGCTACGTATGTTACAATTATTTTAATTTTTTAAATTTTTTGAAAATTAAAATATAGCTAGTAATTAAATGATTTGTATATGAGATATTAAAATATAATACTCATATAATTAGATTAAAATTTAAATTATTTTTGCAAATTTATATTACATTATTAGAGGATAGAAAACAAAATTGATCATAATCAAAATTAATTACTAATTAACAAAATTAATCAGTAATTATTTTTTGTTACTATTTTTTTTTTTGCCTATGAAAATATTTATTAAATTTTACAATATGTTAAAGAATGACGCAAAGAATAATTTGGACAATAATGGACCCTCAGAAATTCACTCATTAGTCAATGAAAGGTAATCTCATTTTAATTATTTTAATATTAAATTGTTTCATTTCAATTAAATTTTATTATAATTATTTTAATATTAAATTTTAATCATTTTAAAATACTAATTTTGATTAATTGAAATGGGTTTCTTCAAATTTATCGTATATAAATAAATTTTAGACTTACCGTAGAAGAAAAGACGCGCGATAAAGGTTTGGCGCTAATTGACCGATATGCTACAAGAAATGAAGAAGGTAATACCATTGTGCCAACATCTGCAAAAGCAAAATTAATTGGTAAGAATTATCATTGATAATTGATAATTTATCTGATAAATTCATTGCTTTTCTTATCATTTTTATCACTAAAATTGTATATTTGTTAAAAATTACAAAAATCGTTTCATTTAGTTTATTTTAATAAATATTTAAATCAAATATTTTTTGTAAAAAAAAGTTAAAATAAAATTTTAATTTATTAATATTTCTTCATTTATCATTTATTATCATTTTATCATTAGAATTTTGATATTGCAGCGCGGAAAAGATTATTTGAATGCTTGAAAATCATCAAAAATATATTTACTTAATTTTTAAAGATTTTGAAAAAAGAAAATAACGAAATATGTAATTTTTTTTTTTTATTTTAACTGTAATTTTTAATTTTCATAGTTAATTTATTAACAATTTGATTAACGATTTGAAATAATAATTTAATTATTTTACTGATAAAATTTGATAAGATAAGGCGTGAAATTTTCTATTTGAATATCTTTAAATAATAAAATATATCGAATATTTATTCTTTTCCTTCTTTTATTTTTTGTAAACAAAAAATTTAGTTGAAAAAAAAAAATTCGAATAAAATTATTTCAGCTTAATAAACTTTTTTTTTCTTTTATTATTTGATTTATTTAATTTAATTTTTTTATAGATTTTATTTCAACTGTAAAAACAATAATGAAATCACCGATTTATGTATTTTCAATGATTGGTCGCATAATGGATGTTTTTGCATTTAAAGGATTTTTCATCTTTCTTCCAAAATATTTAGCAATACAATTTGGTTTGCCACAACATAAAATTAATCTTTTTTTAGGTTTGTTTTTTATTAATAAAATGAAAAAAAAAAAAACTTTTTTAATAAAAATTTGAACAATTTTTCATTTTTTTTCTTTTGCTTTTTTATTTGAAAAACTTTTTTTTTATTTTTATAATTTATTTCCTCTTTTTTTGTCATTTATTATTTATTATTCGTTATTTTTATTTATTATTTGTTAAATTTAAAATTTCGACAATATTTGTGAAAAAACCGAAATTTTTCTTTTTTGAAGTATAAACAAAAAAATTAGAAGAATTGATCAAAATTATTTATTAATATTAAATTAAAAAATAAAAATAAAATTAAATAATTAAGCAATTGATTAATTATATTATTGTAATTCATTTAAATTTAAATAATTTCTTATCATCAAAGTGAATTTGAAGAAATAGCAAAATTATATTATAGGATTAGCAAGTTTACCAGGATTAGCAATTGGCTTATTTATTGGTGGTTTAATTATGCGAAAATTTAAATTACAAGGTAACATTTACAAAAAAGCGAAAAAAATTTTTTTTTTTTTTTAATAAATAAATTTGTTTTTCTTAAATTATTCATCATTTTATTTGTTAGAGTTTTGTTTTTTTTTTTTTTCAATAAAATAATTTAAACAACAAAAATTTTTATTGAACTTTTTACTAGTAAAGAATTTTTAAATTTTTTGATAGAATATTTTAAAATTAGATATAATTAATAATTATAAATTAATATTAATCAATTTTTTATTTTTTTTTCAGGTAGAAAAGCAGCAATATATATTCTTCTTTGCTCATTAATTGCTGCTATGTTTTCACTTCAAAATGCAATGATTGGTTGTAAATCAGTGCTTAGTTTAATTGGTAATAAAGCTAGGTAATTAACTAATTAATTAAATAAAATTTCATGTGTAAATTTAGTTTTTTAATAAATTTAATTTCTTTTCAAAAATTTGATTTTCTTTTTTTATAATGCATCTATTAATTGAAATTTCTTTTTTTTAATATCTCTTTTTCAAAAAAAAATGATTTTTATCCTCCGTTTTTTTAAAAAATAAAAATTCTTTTTTGTGTATTATTAAACAAATATTTAAACTTTATTAATTATCGGTGATTAATTAATTAATTTAGATTAATTAATCATAATTTCACGACAACATGTAATAATGATTGTAATTGCATTGATATGCCATTGTATCCAGTTTGTAATCAACAAGGTGAAGCATTTTACTCACCTTGTCACGCTGGTTGTCACCTAGATCAAAGTTTTGCTCATCCATCAGTTCATAAAGTATTGTTTATTTATTTATTTATTTTTGATTTTATAATAAAATAAATTAGAGATAGTTTTTTTTCTTTTCATTCAATATGAATTATAATTTAAGATATAATTAAACTTTAATAAAAGTAAAAAAGTTTAAAACTGATGAAAAAAATAGGAAAAAATTTCGAAAAAAAAAAACAAAATTTTAGTGAAAATTTAAAATTTAATAAGAATTTTGATCAGATTTTTTGTAAAAACTTTAATTATTATTTTGTAGCGAATTGATTTACATTAACGATTGATTTCTATGAAAGCGATAAAATATTTGAAATGGATTTAATAGTGAATGCTTAAATTTCTTAAATTTATTAAATTTCGTAAAAAGGATTAAAGTCTTATGCAAAATTTTTTCACATTATCTGTTTGAATTATTTAAATTTGTTACAACTTAATTATTGTTAATTAATTATTATTTATAATTATTAGTGTTATTATTATCTTTTCTTATCAATTAAATTTTGCGAAAAATTTCAAATAGAAAATCACAAATTTTTTCTAATTTTGTCAGTTTACAGTTAATTGATAATAAATTATTCATACATTAATCCTAAGTGATAATAACAGTTTAATATTTTTTAATATATTCAATTTTTCTTTTTTTATAATTTTAGATTTTCAAAAATTGTAGCTGTTCGAATAGCGTAAACAATGACGTGTCACGTGACTTTTGTGATCAAAAAATTTGTGAGCAAAAATTTATTTGGTATTTTATAAATTTAGCATTTTCGGGTATCTTTGGTGGAATGAGTATTATTCCATCAGTGCTAATTGTTCTTAGGTACGTTTATATTTCTTATTTAAATGATAATTTATTAAATTAATTAAAATAATTTTTGATACTGATAAAAATGATAAGATTAGAGTAATGTGAAAAAAAATTCATTTTATACTTTACTTTAAGTTTATTATTGTTTTAGTTCTATTATGCAAATTTTTTTTTTCTTTTTTTAATTACAAAGTATATTTTGATAAAATTTACTTCCTAATTTTATTTTAATTTTTTTTTTTTAGGAATAGGATGGTTTTTATGATGAGTAATTATACTTATTAATTAAATTTTTAACTTATTTAATTTTAATCAATTTGATTAATATCCTATCTATATTCATTGTAAAAAATATTAAGATCGGTGCCACCAGTGGATCGAAGTATTTCTCTTGGCTTTCAAGGATTTTTAGTCAGCTTAATTGGTTCGTCTAACTTTAAAATTTTTATTGTAAATGGAAATTAATCTAATTTATTTCAACATTATTATTCTAAATAATAATTAAAAATTAATTTCATTTCTTTCTATTATTATTATTCAAAATATAATTAAAAATTAATTTCATTTCTTTCTATTATTATTATTCAAATATAATTAAAATTAATTTCATTTCTTTCTATTATTATTATTCAAAATATAATTAAAAATTAATTTCATTTCTTTCTATTATTATTATTCAAAATATAATTAAAAATTAATTTCATTTTCTTTCAATACATTTTCCTCTTTTTCTGTTTTCATTATTGAAGTTTTTGAAATAATCAACGATGGCAAAGCTAAAAACAATAATAATAATTTAAACAAAAAATGTTACTATTGTTTTCCAATGAAAACACAATTTAAAAATTTTTTTTAAAGTGTTTTAAATTTCAATTTTCTCTCTCTTCCAGCAACACTACCATCATCAATTTTTTGGGGTTGGATTGTTGACAAAGCTTGCATCATGTGGAATAGCATTTGTGGACAACAATTTCGAGGTGCTTGTGAATTATATGACAGTAATAAATTACGTCTGATGACTCATTTAACTTATGGCTTAATGAGGTATGACTAATGGTTTCTCATTTTTTTTTTTAAAGTAATTTTTATGATTAGCTTTAAATGTTTTATTATTGTTTTATGTTAAATTATAAGATTGAAAAAAATGAAAAGAAAATGAAATGCTTATTTCAAAGCAATGGGAAAACTTTTTTGACTTGAATTTTTAATTTGAATATTAAAAGTAATTTGTTTGAAATAGGAAAAATTTTTGCATTCGAATTCTTTGTTCCAAGATTTAAGTAATTTTTTAAAGAATAATGTGATATATTTAAGTTTAAATTAAAAATTAACACTTTTCCAAATAAAAACTACTTTGTGTGAAATTTATAAAAATAAAATGATTCTATTATAACATAATTCAAAACATATGAAATAATTATAATTTCTTTTTAACAGAGTATATTAATGTAATTTTTTGAATTATTGATAAAATATACTTAAGTTTAAACTAAAATTTAATACTTTTTCAAAAAAAAAAAATAAATAAACTGATTTATATAATATTTTTAAAAGTGAAATAATTTTATTAAAATATAATTCAGAAAAATTTATAATTATTTATTTACAGATTGGTATCATCAATACCAGATATTGCTGTATGCTATTATGCAAAAAATCTTTTACTAATCGATCATGGATTAAATGAAGTCATTTAAATTTTATTTTTATTTTTTTATCAAATTGTTTTTAATATTGGAAAAATTTAAAAAATGGCTAATTTTAATTAATGTAATAAATTTATGTAAATGTAAATAAAATGAAAGGAAAAAATGGGAAATATTAATATATTATTATCATTAATTTGTGTGATTTTTGTGATTATTTAGTAAAAAATTTGCAAATCATAACTTAAATATTTTACATTTATTCATTTGAACTATTTATAATCTTTTTTTTCATTTTTATTTATTTATTTTTTTGCAAAACCTGAAAATATTCAAATTATTTAAATATTTGTATATTTTCACTTTTATTTTTTATTTATTTAATTTTTTGCAAAACCTAAAATTATTAAAATTATTTAAATATTTGTATATTACAATTTTATTATTACTATTAGTTGTTTAACTTAATTTTGCGTGCCTGAATGTTTATTTTTTTTCTTTTTTTGCTTATTATTTGACTAGTATTTAGGAAATTTTTTTTTCTCATTGATTTCCAAATAAATATTTAATGAAATAATTGTTACTTAAAATATTATGTGAAAATTAATTTTGTACAATGAATTTTTGCTTAATTTAAAGTGTAATTTAAAATTTTTATTTCAAACATTTTAATTTTTACTATTAATTTTTATTTCACTTACTTTTTTTTTGTTTCTTATAAAATAATTTAGCATTTTTTTGTGAAATTATTTCTTACAAATTAACTTACTAAATTAGAAAAAGCAAGTAAATTGGAATTAAATGATTTTACAAAAGAAAAAAAATTTATTTTATTATTTTTATTCAAAAAAAAGTGTCAAAGTATTCAAATTGATGTTTCTTTTTTTTTTTTTTTTTTTTGAACTAGAATTCTTAACAAAAAAAAAACTTTGAAATTTTTGGAAAAAGTCATTAATTGTGTTATAATTAGTGTTAATTCTGACCACAATATTATTTCTCATAAATTTTTCAAATTTAAAAATCTTTTTTAATGCGTTTTTTTTCATTTTTTTTTTTAATTTTATATGTTCTAATTACTATCTTTGCAATAAAAAAAATAGAAATTATAATTTTGTGTCAAAAAATGAAATTATTATTTTTGAAATAACAAAATTGCAATGTTATTTGTACTTTGACAATTCTTTCTATTAATTAATTATTGCAATGGTAATAAAATGAAAAAAAATTGCTTTAATTAAAATTTTTCATAGCAATTTTGTTTTTTTTTTTTAAATTTTAATAATTTTTTAAATTTTGGCAAATTTAAAAAATTTATTAAAAAAGCAATGAATGAAATATGTAATATAAATGAAATGTATAACAATAAATTGAATTTTATTGAATTTTGATTTAATAAAATTACTGGAAGTTTACGTATTGTATGCGTTAATTAATTTTTATTAATATTTATGTTTGATTAATTATTTTGTGAAATTTTTTATTTTGTATTTCAAAGTAATAAAGAATTATGCTAACATACGTGTTTAAACATATAAATATTCAATTTTTTTACTTATAAATAATTAATTATATTACTTATCTGTATAGTATTATTACTTTATTTAGAATAAATCGATTAATTTTTGATAATTTATTATTAATCAATCAATTTTTGTTAATTTATTATTATTTTTTGTATAAAAAAAAGCATGCAAAAATGGTTGATTAATAATAATTTTAATCAATTATAAAAATAAAATCACATATTAAAAATTCATAATAGTAATCAAATTTGTAAAATTGTAAATGATTATCAAATTATAATTGTATAATTATGATTTAATTAATATGTTTTCTTTTCTATTATATATATTTAACGATAATACAAATTCTATTAAACATATTTAAATTAGTTTTAATTAAGTATTTTTAGAATAGCACCAAAATCTTTTCATTTCCGTTCTAAATGCTAAAAATTTTCATTTCTTATTAATAAAATAATATTTGTTTTTTCTATTTTTGGAATTACTTTACATATGCAATTGTACACGTGGATTGACATACAGACACATGCACACAGACACATGCATACAGACACATGCATACAGACACATGCACACAGACACATGCACACAGACACATGCACACAGACACATGCATACAGACACATGCACACAGACACATGCACACAGACACATGCACACAGACACATGCATACAGACACATGCATACAGACACATGCACACAGACACATGCATACAGACACATGCATACAGACACATGCACACAGACACATGCATACAGACACATGCACACAGACACATGCATACAGACACATGCACACAGACACATGCATACAGACACATGCATACAGACACATGCACACAGACACATGCATACAGACACATGCATACAGACACATGCATACAGACACATGCATACAGACACATGCATACAGACACATGCACACAGACACATGCATACAGACACATGCATACAGACACATGCATACAGACACATGCATACAGACACATGCATACAGACACATGCATACAGACACATGCATACAGACACATGCATACAGACACATGCATACAGACACATGCACACAGACACATGCATACAGACACATGCACACATGCACACAGACACATGCACACAGACACATGCATACAGACACATGCATACAGACACATGCACATAGACACATTCATACAGACAAATTCATAGAGACATACATGCACACACATGCATACAGACATGCACACATATGCATACACATACACACACACACACACACACACATACATAGCTGTATTTGCATATGCTTTTCATAAAATTTCAGTTTTATTTGATTTAGCTCTTATCGAATCACAAATGACCTTTCAAATTTTTCTTTTTTTCTGCACCAATCATCCAAAAACTTTTTTTGCTCTCAGGTAAACACTTAATGGTGACGACCTTGTGTGTTGCATTAATGCTCATTCAGGTGTAATTCGTTCTTTTTTAACAATACATACACATCTTTTCTCTCTCTCCCTCTCTCTCCCTCCCTCTCTCTCTCTCTTGTATTACAAATTTGTTTAATTACTTTAATTTATTTACCTGTATTTTTATTTTACAGATAACATTACTGATTACATAATATGTACGATTAAGTTATGATAATATTAAAATAGTATCATCTTATTGATTTGTAGTATTATCTTATTGACCACACATTTTATCACTGATTAACGATGATTAAAATGATAAGAAATCCAATGAGACATACGTAATCTTTGATAAACATTCATTAAAAGTGATTATTAAATTTCTGATTTTTATTACATTCTTTGAAATTAAAATTATTGGTTAAATCAGAATTTTATTGATAAAAATTTTAAATTATGTTTATTTTAACTAAAATCATTGATTAAATTACAGTTTTACTGACAAGAATTTAAATTATATTTGTTTCAACTAATCAATAATTATTGATCAAAATTATTGATTGATTGTTAATGAGAATATTACCTAATAAATTTGCAATCTTATCAGATTATTCTATTTTGTTTCACCATCTGATTATCAAATTTCTGATATTTGTTGCACTTTCTTTTTTTTTTTTTTAATTTTAGATATAAACAAATTATATAATAGTATTTTATGATTTAATTTATAACAAAATAATTTGAAAGAAAGAAATTTACTATTTTGATCATTTTATGTTCTCTATTTGATAAAAGGAAACAAATAATTCAATTATAGAAATTGCATTTGTTTTTCAAATTTGAAATTAAAATCATTGATTAAATCAAAATTTTATCCATTCATTGTGGATTTTTCATTTTCACTATATTTTATTATTAATTTGTTTTGTTTAATATAGCTTATTTTGAATATTAGATTTATCATTTAGCATTTATTATCATTTATGACAAAATGATAAATGATATAAAAGTGATATTTGATAAGAGTACTGATAAAATAGATCATTTATGATAATTTCATTCATTTTTCTTATGAATTTAAAAGATATAAACGAAAGAGCAAAAAAAAAGGAAAAGAAAATTTTTTTGCAATATTTGATCTTTCTGTTATATTTGAAAGATTTCATTTTACATTTAACTTTTTTCTATATGAAAAATTTATTCTTTCTTTTTTCTTTCGTCATTTTTTTTTTAAATTTATTCGATTAGTAAAGTTAATGTAATTTAATAATTTGAATGATTGAAAAATTTTAAGTTTTTTTTTATTAAATTAGATTTGCTAATTAAATTAAAAAAATAATTTAGTAATTGGAAAGATTTTAACTTTTCTTATTTGGAAAAAATTTGTTATTTAAACAAAACGTTTTAAAAAAGTTTTGATACTAATCATTAAGAAACATTTTTTTCAAATACTTTTTTTTTTTAAAAAGAAATAAACAATTTGATGTTTCTGTCGATTTCATTTTAAAACGACCGATCTCATTAATATTTCCTCCCAATTTTAAAATGCTAAAATGTCACTGATAAGATTGATTCTTCAAGTTATTTTATTGTTAAATGTTTATTTTAATTTTTTTAAAAAAAAATTGAATTTATTTTTTAAACAAATAAAAGCTAAATATTTTGTTTTTAACTGATACATTTAATCATTAAAATATCATCAATTTGACCTAATCATTGACCTTTCTTTTGCTATTTGTTAAATTACTACAAATTTGAAAAGAAATTAAAAAGTGAAAAATAATTAATCCAAAATTTTATGTGAATTTTTCAGTCGTTCTCCTTATTTATTTAGTTATTTATTTATTGTTTGTATTATAAAATATCTAAATTTAAAAAAAAAGAAAAAAGAAGCATATGAATTGTTCATTTCTAAAATTTTGTTTATCATTTTGCATTTAAAATTATGAATTGAATATAAACTATTAAAATTAATTAACATTGACTAATGCAAAAAAAAAGACGAAAAATGTGAAATAATATTAAAATATAATGATAAGATCAATGAATTGAATTGGTTTAAAAAAATAAAATTTTTTTTTAACTTTTAAATTTTATAAGTAATTCTTCGTTAGTTTATGCTAACTATGTAAACAATAA